ACCAGGCTGCCAATGTCCTACTCACACATGACAGCTAAGGGCAGCAAGAGGACCATGGGGACTTTCCCGCAGTGCCCTGGCCCAGCTGTTCCTTAAAATTGCCCCACTGAGGATGCGCCAGCTGCCGCCGGCCAGGTGGCTTCAGAGCTGCACCAGACGTGTGGCCCCAGGGCTGGGGCTGAGCAGGGCAGCGTGGGTTTGTCCCGGGTCAGGAGCTGTCCCTGGAAGGAGCAGGTAAGCATGGGAGAAGAGGCAGCCTCCCCGCTCCCTTCCCGCCTGGGATGGCCTCACTGCTGTGGGGACCAGGCCCTGGGAGAGCAGTTTTTCACTGTAGATTCAGAGCCTAAGGTTCCGATGCTCAGTTGGGGCGCTGCCATTTGGGGTGTCCCAGGGCACTGGTCCCACTGCAGGACTCTCTGTGTACAGTGACGGTGAGCCTGTGGGGAGGGACCCAAGGGAGTGCAATTTCTAGAGGCGCCCAGGCAGCACCCAGCCCCCTTGAGAGATAGCAGACCCCACTGCAGGAGCCAGCAGGTCAGAGCAGCACTCGGGGCCTGGATTCCAGCTCAGTGGTCTGAACCCCATGACTTGTGACCCTGGAGAGTACTCTAGAGATAGCAGTAACGTGCTCTGTGTTCAGTTCCTGTGGCCTCTGTGACCAAGTGCCACCATAGCACAGGTCCAGTCCCTTACAGTTCTGGAGGTCAGCAGTCCGAGTGGGCTAGAATCTGGGCGTGGGCTGGCAGGGTTCCTCTGGAGCAGCGGTTCTCAACCTTTCACAGGGGTCGCCTAAGACCATCGGAAAACACATATTTTCGATGGTCTTAGGAACCGAGACGCCGCTCCTCTATCCGTCTCCAGGCCCACATGCAGATACGCCCACATACGAGTACCCGGCGACCCCTGTGAAAGGGTCGTTCGACCCCCAGAGGGGTCGCGACCCACAGGTTGAGAACCGCTGGTCTGGAGGTTCCTGGGGAGAATCTGTTCCCGGCCTTTGCAGCTCCTAGAGGTGCCTGCGTGCCGTGGCTCGTGGCCCCGCCGCCATCTTCAAAGTCAGCAGGGCAGCCCCTTCAAACCCCTGTTTCTCCGACCCTCCTGCCGCCCTCTTATAAGGACCATGCGACGGCGCTGGGCCCACCTGGACACTGCAGGGTCATCTCCCATCTCATGGTCCTCACCTTAGCCCCACCCGCGGAGTCCCTGCTGCCCTGGGAGACGTGGGCCTTAGGATGTGAGCCTCTTTATTGAGCTGACCACACTCTCCTTAAAGACCACTGAGCCTGTGGCTCCTCAGGGTCTCGGCCACGGCCCCGGTCACGAGCTGGCTGAGGACACCTCTGTTCTGCCGCCACATGGCCCACATGGGGGGTGGGGCCGGCGGGGTTCAGGTGACTCAGTCCTGCTTTGCTTTCTCAGTGAAAGTCCTTTCTATGGAGGGGCCTGGATCCCAGAACTGGAGGCCACTCCAGCAGGAGGTTGTCTGCCAGATGTCCCGCCCATAAGCAGGCTTCTGTCACCCAGAGAGGTGAGGGGAGGCCTCAGATCCTTCAGCCTTGAACTGACCCGCTGTGTCCAAATATCCAGACAGACTGACCGGAAACAGTGGGAGCCGTGGCCGAGCCTTCCCGCCGCCTCCCTGTGCCGCCCCCACAGACCCTGTGTCCTCCAGCATGGCAGCCCCCCCCCATTACCAGGCAGTGCAGCCTCGGGGGAGGGAAGGGTTTGGGGCTGGGTCGCTGTGCCAGGCTGGGCCTGTGGGTGTTAGCCGGGAGAGGGATTTCTGAGACAGGCCGGCATGCGGGCCGGACAGACGTTCCCTTGAGCGGTAGGAGGGCGAGACGAGGCTGGCCATGCGGGCAGCACGTGGGGCTGGGGACGGAGGCCCGGCTCGAGGGACCCTGTTGCCCTGATGTGCTGTGCCCTGCCCGGCACCCCCGCCTGCTGCTTCCCAGCCTGTCTGTCCCTTTGGAGTCCTTTCAGCCTGCAGGGCTGGCCCGAGGGGCAGCCACTCCTCCTGGCCCCCCCCAACGTGTCCTCGATGGTCCTTGTAGACCTGCCCCGGAGCTGGTCCAAGACACGGCCCCCAGGGCAGGCTCGGGCCCCCAGCCAGGTGTCTGTGGGGTCAGGAGCACCCCTGCTCCCTGGGTGCAGTGCCCCTGAGTCGCTTCTGCTTGAGCTGGGCATCTGCGGGGAGCGCAGGGTGAAGGCGAGTCCCCCGCCGAGAGCCGGGTTTCTGGAAGCCGGTGTCCGCGCTGGGCGGCTCACTCAGCGCTTGCCCCTGGGTCCATGTTTGGGGCACATAGGTGTCCTCTCTCCCTGCAAGGCTGCTGAGGACAGAGGCCCAGTCACCTGCCCACCCCCTCGGACAACACACATGGCACCTCTTCCCCCAAAGCTTCACTAACGCCTTCTTCTGTAACACGCAGTGCCGTCCCCGTGCTGTCACATCTTTACCTTTCAGGGACCCTCTCAGGGGTCTCAGAACAAGGGGTCTCTTCTCTGAGCCCCCTCGGGGGGCTGCTGCCGGTCCTGCCCTGCCCAGTGGGTGTGGGTCTGCCCCTCTGCCCGCTCCCCGCAGCTGACTCCTCACAGAGGGCCCTGAGCCCTGAGACCTTCCACCATAGCCTGGTTCCCTCTGTCCCCTGGGCCTCTGTGGGGCTGCTTTGGGAGTCGTTAACCCTTTGCTTTCAAGCTCCTTTCTGCAAATCATCCTGGTTCCATTCTGAGTTCGCTCTTAGGTTACCACAGTACAGACGGCAGCCTTGGGGCTTGGGAGGGAGCTGGGGGGTCTCCCCAGAGTGGACACAGCTTGTGCATGGAGCAAATGGCCCTGGAGGTCCCAGGTAGAGACCCTTGCTCCTGGGGTTTGTGTGTGTCCTTCCTGGAGCCTCAGGCATATTCTCAGTGTGGACTGGTGCCAGGGTTTCCGAGCGTGGGAAGCATAGCCTGGTGGGAGGCTCAGGGCACGGCCAGGGGAGCCTCGCCCTGTGTGCCACCTTTGGCACCCGTCTAAGGTGTGCTTAGATGGCTGGAGTTAGGATGGGAGCCTGGAGGGTGGCGTTTTCCCTGGGGGTGGCACTGGGAACTGGGGGGTGGCGTGGTGGCAGATGGCATGGACCCAGTGGGTTATTGAGCAGAATCAGAGGGAAACGTCAGCTCTGTGCATCCCTGGCAACCTGTCGTCCCGCTGGTCAAGGTTTCCACGCAGCCGAGGGCTTGCCCCCCGAACTTATGTTTTCTTCCAAACTGCAGCCTTCTGCTGGCACTTTGAGCCAGACGTGGCTTCCCCCTTCAGGCTCGGGCAGCGGTCTGGGCCTCTGTTGTCCTGGCGTGGGGGTGGGGTGAGGTGCTGGGGCCAGACGCCCAACTGCCCCAGACCTCGGCAGGTAGACCGTAAGTGAAGAGTGTCTGTGTGTCCGTCTGCCCTGTGATGGTGCCTCCTGGCAGCCCTCCCACTCTGCCTGGGAAGCTGGCGTCTGGCCGGTGAGGCTGACGTCTGGCTGGTGTGGACTGGCCTGAGGAGCCATGGCCGTGCCCCGCGCTCCAGGGCCTCGCTGTTTCTGTGTCGTGTGGGCAGAGGCCTTCTCCCTTCCCCGTCTCCAGGGCAGTTGGGTCCCTCCTGGTGTTGGCCTCACACACCGATGCCTGGGCAGCACCTTTCTTCCAGTCAGTTGCAGCTTGTTGGAAGTGGGCCGGGGGGAGGTACGAAGGTGGCCGCAGCCTTCACACTGGCCTTCCTGCAGAAGGAGGCGACCCTCCTGGGGTGCAGCCCCTGTACCAGCCCTGGGGAGCGCCTGTCCTCCCCTTCAACACCCAGCTCTGCTCCTGGGGAGGCTCCTGGGGCCTTGGGCTGGCCCTGTCCCTCCTGGTCAGCACTTTCCCTGTGGCACAGCACAGTGGCGTGGGGGTGGGCACAGGTGTCCTGTGCAGATGGCTGGTCTCAGGCGTGAGGTGTCTCCTGGAAGTGGAATTCCTGGCCCCTCCACTAGGTCCTGCCCTGGGGATGTCTGCTGTGCTGGCCTCTTGCGTCCCCGGCACTGGGAGCCCACGGGGGACCCCAGGCTGAGACCACCTGCACTAGCTTCCTGGGGCAGCCGAAACAAATCCGCAGTAGGTCTTATTCTCTCACTGTGCTGGAGGCTGGAGGTCTGAGATCAAGGTGTCGGCCGTTGTTTTCTGAAACCAGGGGAGGACCCTTACTCGCCTCGTCCTTCCAGCTCCGGGGGCTCCCGGCACTCCTTCGCTTGGGGCCACCTTGTTCTAACCCCTGCCTCCCTGCGAGACTCTTCCCAGGACCCCAGTCCCTGGATGTAAGGCCCACCCTTACCCAGTACGATCTCCTCTGGTTCCTTAACTGATTACATCTGCAGAGACCCTTTTTTCAGACAAGGTCATGTTTGGGATGGACATGAATTTTGGGAGACGCTGTTCGACCCAGGACACGCCCCTGCCCTGCGCTCTCTGGGGCTTCCCCCCAGAGCCTGGGCGGGGCCGTCTCTTGAGCTCTCCAGTTCTTCTTTTGGACTTGTGGGCCCCCTGAGGAGTGACTGTTACTGTCTCCAGGGTATTTCTGGATTTGGATTTAAGAAAAGAGCGTGTGTTCAGGGTCAGTCTGGAAAGGCTCTGGGAGCGAGGCCACCCCGACCTGAGCCCGCTCCCCTCTGTGGCCACCGCGTTGGCCAGACCACTGCTCCCCACGTTCTGGCTGAACCCAGCAGTCAGGGTCCTGCTCTTCCCCCAGGCAGGCTGGCCAGGTGTGGGGGACGGGCCCTGCCTTGTTCCGCTCTGCCTGGCAAGCAGGGATGAGGGACTTGGGCGTGTTGCAGGCCTGGCCTGAGAAGGGTCTTGGGTCTGGGCCCTGGCACTTGGGCCTGAGGCGGTGTCCTCAGTGAGGGGTCTCGGGCTGGGGTCCCTGAAGCCAGCGCAGAGTGGGTGGGCGGGCGGACCCGGGCAGGTAGGTGCTGGCTGTCAACCTTCGGCCCCGTGTCCCCACCCAGATGTGGATGAGTGCCTGATGCACAACGGCGGCTGCCATCACAGGTGTGTGAACACGCCAGGCTCCTACCTCTGCGAGTGCAAGTTCGGCTTCCGGCTTCACGCGGACGGCAGGACCTGCCTGGGTAAGCGCCTCCTGCCTGGTGCCACCTCCCTGCCGGGGCTCCTGGCCTCAGCTATCCCGCCATGCAGGTCTGGAAGGGGGCGGGGCCCCTGCACGCCTAGGCGGAGAAGCCCGGCTCAGCAGCAGGGCTGTTATGTGGTCCCACGCTGCTCAGTGCGGGAGGCCGTGGGGCCTCAGCCTGGCTTGTCGTGGGGCCTTCAGCTCCACTCACATGAGAGCTGAGGCCCAGGCAGGTGAAAGAACAGGTCCCGAGGGCCTGGCTCCCCCATGCTGACCCTGGCCCCTGTGGCCCGGGGCGTGGACTGTCTGCAGCCACACCTGAATCGGGCTGGGATGCCCTGGTCATCTTCCCGGGATGGGGGGAAAGGCTCTCGTGACGTGGGGAAGAGAGCCCCTGGGCCACCGTCCTGTCAGGACGCCATGTGGTGGGTCAGCGGGGACCCAGGCTGGCTATGCTGCCCCCAAACTCTGGGGAGACTCAGATGCTCCCGGGAAGCTGGGAGGCTGGCCCAGAGGCCTGGCCCGGGCTGGGGCAGCGTGAGGCCGCTCTTGGCCTGCAGAGCTGGGCTTCCCGGACCTCCAGGAGCCTGGGGGGTTGGACTGTGGCAGGCCGGATAGCTGAGCTGGGATTCTGACCCTCAGCTCCTTGGCAGGGTCTTTTTGTCGTGCAGAATGGGCTCCATGGAGGCCTTGCCAGCTCAGGAGGGTTACAAGGGAGGGGAGGGGAGAGTGCCAGGTGCCCAGTGAGGTAGAGGCCAGCGGTCTGGTGCTGAGCAGTCGGGGCCTACCGCTTGCCCTCCCCCACTCCTCTCTGGGCTGGCTCTGGACACAGGTGCTGCGGGCGCAGGACTGGCCCCTCCCTGTTGGCCGAATGGGGTCGTTCTCTGGGAGGCTGGGGACAGGATACCCCTTCTTTCCACCCTGAAGACCCGAGTGCTCTGGCGGCCTCCGAGCGTCCTCCTTCCTGCATGCCTTGCTGCTGTGTGACAGGCGGCCTGCCAGCCCTGTGTGTGTGGGGGGCCGTACACACTCACGTGTCCAGGCCACCACTCGGGGAGCGAGGCAGCTGCCCCATAAAGTTTCTCCGGGTCGGAAAGTGGAAACAGATGCAGGAATGTTGCGATGTGCTTCAGACAGCGATGGGGGTGCGGCCCCCAGTGGCTGTCTGCTGGGCAGGAGGGGGGTTTCCGGGAGCCCATGGCCACGGGCTCTTTGGTCTTGGGGCCCCCTGGCGTCCCCGCATGTCCTACCCACACCTTTCCTCTGGGGCAGGGTTCTCCTTGGGGGAGAGCGTTCGTGGGGGCTGGTCCAGGGTGGGCTGGGCTGGGCCTGGAGGGCGCCCACTGCCCCGTCCCTGCTGTGCTCCCCTGTGAGGGCCTGGGGCTGGGGTGCACCTTCCCCGTGACACACTGAGAGAGGTGGTACAGGTGGTGATGCGGAAACAGCATGCAAAGGGGAGGGGTGCCTCTCAGCCATGCCCCAGGCCCCCAGCTCACCTCACCCCGTTGCAACCCTGGAGCACCTCCAGTAGCCTTTCCTGAGAGATACCTGCCCTGGGGCCCCCTTAAAGTCTTGATTTGTGACAGTAGCTTATTTTATTTATTTATTTATTTATTTTTTTAAAGATTTTTATTGGGGAATTGGGGGGATGGGAACAGTGCTGGGGAATTGGGGAAAGGGGAACAGACAAGTTGCTGTTGTTTTGTTCCTCAATCTAGTTGTGGAGGATGTTGCTTCACTGGCCCAAGTTGGCACCATCATTGCGCTCTTCTCTGGCGAGGCAGATCAGTCGCCGGCTTCTGGACGGCCGCTCACTGTGGCTGCTGGCCGCTCACGCTGGCTGCTGGCTGCACACGGTAGCCCATGGCAACCCACTGCCACAGGGACTGCAGCCCACGCCGTCGCCGGCGACTCACAGCAGCCCAGCTCCAGGTTGAGCTGTTGTTCAGCATCTTAGCCGCAGAGGGCAGTGTCACTGGCCCTCATATGTGGGATCCGAACCGGGGCCCTCTGGCATCCCAAGCGAGTTCCCAACCATCGCGCCACTCGGCCGGCCCGACAGTAGCTTATTTTAAAGGGTCTTTTCAGGTCTGATGCGGGCCTCTGGGTCTGGTCTGCACAGCCAGGCACGAGGCTGCTGGGACCTTACCAACAACCCCTGTGCCTGCCCCGCCCCCAATTATGGGCATCCAGACTGAGTGGGTGTACCCCAGAGCCCCAGGCGAGTGGGTGTACCCCAGAGCCCCAGGCGCTCTGCAGCCTTCGGGGTGCTGGTGTCCAGCTCCTGGCCACTCCCAGAGGAGGGCGCAGGTGAGGCTCCCCTGCACAGCGGCCTGTCCCCTGCTCCCTGCCCCCTCCAGCCGGGAGTGCTTCCCCCGATGCTGTATTTGGCCTCAGTCTTTCACTTTCTCTTTCTTTTGACTGCAACCCCTCTCAGGAAATATACATTGTGCCTGCACACGCACGCACACCTACACCCACGCACACCTACACCCACGCACATCCACCTACTCCCACACGCACGCACACCCACGCACACCTACACCCACGCACACCTACACCCATGCACCTGGCTGTTGGGCTGTTGGTGGATCCCGCCTGTTTGGAAGCCCTGAGAGCTGACACCTTGCCAGCATCAGGCCAGTCCGCAGGTCTCCTGGGGAGCGTCCAAGATTGCTGTGGGTCCATGGGGAACTACCTTCTCTGTGGGGCCTGGGCTTTGCTGAGAGCCTTCCAGAGTGGACACGGGGTGCCTGGGGGCTTCATCACAGGCAGAGCAGGAAGCTTTGCTCCGGGGCCCCCCCCCGCCCTTCTCCCTCATGCGCCCCTTTTGGTTGCCATGGGACCTGCCCTGGCTGCAGTGCACATGCCGTGCGGGCCTGGGGTGGGTAGAGGTAGCAGAGCATCTCCGATCAGCCTTAGGAGCCTCCAGGTGGGGCCCAGTGGAGCGCACTGCGCGGCCCAGCCCGGCTGCCGGACCCTGAGGGCTCCCGGGGTCTGGGGCTGGACTTCCGGCCCCTTCCTCCTCGGGGACTCCCAGTGTGTAGGGCCTGGGGAGGAGCTGACAACCTTGTCCCAGGTTCACAGTGACACCCTCTGAGCCCAGCCTGCCCTGAGGCCTCAGCAGACGTTTATGGGAAGAATCAGAGCAGGCCCCCCCCTCCCCCGGCCTGCCCCCTCCTCGTGCTGGCCAGCTGTGGGGCGTTCTGCACAGCTGGAGCACAGCTGCTCCGGAGCCCTCCCCTGGGGCCCGCTGGCATCCTCTTGGGAGGAGGGGCGTTGTGAGCTCTCCTGGGACTTTTCAGGCAAGCAAGGAACAGGCCTGGCACCGCCTCCTTCCAACAACTTTAGTAAGGACTATAGAGATGCTGAAGGCTGGGGGTGGAGAAGGTGCCCAATGGGACATGATGGTCTTTCCATGATACGGGGTGGGATTGGCTTGTGTGCTGGGAGCTCTCAGGGTCATGCCCTCGGAGAGATCTGGGAAGCCCTCGGAAGAGGCAGAGCTTTGGGGGGGGGGTCTTGAAACACACAAGGAGGGCCTTGAAACACTCTTGGTCAAACTCACCTCCAAGACCAGAAGAGGACGGGAAATGCGCAGCCTCCACGCATCCCTTCCTTGCGAAAGACATTCCGGGAAAAAAGAAAAGTTTCAAATTTTTTTTTTTTGGTTTAACTTTTATTGCAAATGGATTACATCTAGCAAACAAATATTTCTTATTCCATAGTGAATGGTCTCACTAAAAATGTAACTAAAACTAGGAACTCAACAATACCTCCCTGGTCCCATAAACAAATGGCAAACAATAAGAACTACAAAACTAGCCAGTGCGCAGCAATCCCAGAAAGACTGTTTTTTTTTTTTTTTAAAAAGATATCACTGGTGCTATACAAGTCAGAAAAGCAATGCCTTGTTGAGAAGCATAGTTTTTTTTTTAATAGATACACCAACAATGTCTCACTGTTATCGCCTTCGTTGCTCATAAATCAAAACAGAATGAGACATGTTTACTTCATTAGAATATTAGATTAGATTAGAAATTACCTAATGGAAGAGTACATGGTTTGCATAAAATAATAAATCTGGAAGCAGAGATTAGTAACCATATGGTAAAATGTCAAATTTCAGAAATTATTTTGGTTGTTTTCAAACTTTTTTGTTTCAGTTACAGTTGACATTCAGTATTATATTAACTTCAGGTATACAGCCTAGCGGTTAGGCATTTATATAATTTACAAAGTGATCCCCCAATTGGTCTAATACCCCCTGACATAATACAGAATTATTATGACATTATTATATTTTTTGTGCAATTCTTTACATCTTCATAACCATTTAACTCCCAATTTGTACTTCTTGAAAAGTTTCCATTTTTATAAGTGAGAATTTGCAGCAAGGATTTTGCTGTTGGCCCTGACGCTGTGAGAAGTGGCCAGGCCTGGAGGCCCCTGCGCAACTCCTGTGCTGCCCTGGCCACCCCTGGCCAGTCTGACTGCAGGAGAAACAGAAGCAGTGGGGTGTCCTGGGTACCCCGTTGCCGGGGTGCCCTCCTGTGCGTGCCCCCCAGGCTCTGGGGTCAGAGCAGCAGGGCTGAGGGAGGCTCGGGGCTGGTCTTCCTGCCTCTCATCCTTGGGGACTCAGCCAACCCCTTCCTTCCCCAACTTGTGGGAGATGGGGCCTGCGGGACTGTGGTTGGGCAGTACGTCTAGGAGTGCCACTCTTTTCTCCAATATTGTGCCAAGTGCTAGCGTGCAAATGACCAAGGGGACCAAGTCCCAGGGCCTTGAACAGTTTACGCTCGGAGACCCCCTTTCCCCATGTGGCTCTGAGCCAGCGTGACACCTGCCTAGTGTTCTCTTCTGGACCCTGGCCTTGGGCACGATGCTACTTCATGTCACCAGGATGAGAGAGACACCTGGGGCTGCTCTGCAGGACCATTATGTCACTGGCTCAGCGAGCCAGAGGGTTCCTCCAGGGAAGATGCCGGCTGGTCACTCCGGCACCCCCTGCTCCAGCCTCAGGCCCATCAGGCCTTTTGGGTGAGGCTGTGGGGAGGATTCTATTCTCAGCAAGTACACCCGAAGTGGCCCAACTGCCCCTCCTTTGTCCCCTGTCCCCCTCCCTGCCAGTCAGATGAGCCCTACTGTGCTCCCAGCTCCGGGAGGGGCTCCCAGGCCCTGCCTGCCCTCCGGACTCTGGCTCGGGTATGCCGGATGGCCTTGGAGATGACACTTCCCCCAGGCCCCAGTCTTCCCAGTGGGGGCACATTGAGGGGCTGCCCAGGGCCTTCCAGCCTGCCCTCCCCTACCCTCCTTGGAGGGGACGCCCTGAGGGAGGTGCCTGGCTCTACCCGGGGCTGCTGCTGGCCGGTCTGGGGCAGCGCCAAAGCACAGGCAGCAGGAATCTGGAGAACACGAGGCTTGTCTGCAAACTCCTGTCTGCAAAGCCGCAGAAGTGGTTCTGGGAAAGTTTTCAGATCCCTCGGGCCCTGAAGCAGGCTGCGATTGCTCCAGGGAGCCTGCCTTCCCAGCCCCAGGGGCCGCCCAGCCTGACAGCATGGGGGAGGAAGAGGGCAGCCCCCACCCTGGGACTCCATCACGTCGCGGCTTTGCCTGACACCCGGACCCCAGAGGTACAGGCTGCCAGTGCCCCGCGGGTGATGGGCTGGTCACACCCAACCCAGAAAAGCCAGGGGCAGCGGCCACAGACCCCGGGAGGTGGCAGAAACCCAGTGGGAGGCGAGGACTAACGATGGCTGGCCGTGGTGACTGAGAGGAGGGCAGGACCCAGAGGCTGGCACAGGATTTGAGGCGTGGGGTGGGCTGGGAGGTTTCAATGAGGGTGGGATGGGCCTGAGGGGCCGCACCGGAGCCTGGGGTTCGAGCTTTGAGTGCTTAACCCCGAGGTGGGTGGGTGCTGGACAAGACGGCACTGGGTTCCGGGGCCCTGCCCGCTGCCTGATGAAGGGCCTGTCTTTGGGGCTTTCTCTCTGGGACTGAGGGGCAGGGTCTGGTGGGTGGGTGTGCAGGCTCTGATGCTGGGACTGGTGCCACCTGGGCTCACGCCCCTGGAACGTGGGTGTGGGCGGTCTCGTACATGGCTACAAGTTAATTATGCGCCCGTGTAATGCGGAGGCCTCATCCAGAAGGTGGCAGATGGGGCAGGACACACCAGGCAGAGCAGTAAGCGACCCACGAGCTGCCAGGGGGTAAAGAAGGGTGGCAGAACCCAGGCTGAGCCAAGCGGGCCACCCCGTTCCTGCCCCCAACAGAGGGCTTCCTCGAAGGAAGGGCTGTGGATGGCCACTGACCACACGTGGTGTGAGGCTCTTGGGATCTAGAAACCAAACCAGTCTGAGGGCAGTAATTACAAACCCCGTGAAGCCAGCCCTGAAACCAGCGGGCTGGTCCGGAGGCTGGCGCGGAGGGAGCTGGCGGGCTTGGCCCTCTGTTGACAGGCTTGTCCCCCTGCTGGCCAGCCTGCCACAGCACGGCCCCTTAGCTGACCAGCTTGGGCTGGCCGATGTGCCAGGCTTGGGGGCCAGAGCCTTGCCAGCAGAGCCACCCTCGAGTTCAGCCATCCACATCGCCACCTGTTGCCTCCTCTATGGCATCGGGTGCACCTGACACTGGGCTCCAGCCCACATCCATGCCCAGGCCTCAGGTGCTGCCACCTGCACCCCCAAGAGCGGAGAAGCACTGGCATCGGCAGAGCGGGCCCCCCACTCTGTAGGACGCTTGTTTTCTAGATGTCCAGCCTCCTGTTCCAGTGAGGCCCCATTCCCTTGACCAGCTGGGTGCTTCACACCTGAGGCTCATGACTAGGGCTCTTGCTGGCCGAAGGTGGAGCTACAGCCCAGCTCTGCTAGAACCCGCGGTCCCCTGGCTGGAGCCCACTGTCCTGGAATTTGCAAACTGGGGCGTGAGGGTGGATTAGCCAGCTCAGGCGGCGGTAACAACAGACTAGTCAATAAACAACAGACGTTTATTTCTCACCGTCCTGGACGCTGGAAGCCCCGGATCGAGGTGCCGGCTGGCCAGCTCAGCCCTGCTGAGAGCTCCTCCTGGCGGCCCCTCTCGCGTCGGAGAGGGAGGCAGAAACAGAGAGAGCTCATGTCTCTTCTTAAAGGGACACAAATCCTATGGGGTCAGGGCCCCACCTTTACGACTTCATTTAACCTTAATTCTAATGAAAGCCCTACCTCCAAATATCGGCACACTGGGGTTAAGTTTAGGGGGCATAAGCCTTCAGCCCATTAGGGACTGTGGAGCCCCCTAATCTCCCATCTTCTGGTGGGCTCTCAACTGGGGCAAGGGTCACTGGGACATGGGTGACCCGTGGGGCCCAGAAGCTCCACCACCAGCTCTGGCACCGGTCACCCGGCAGCTGGCCCTTTCCTGAGCGGCACAGCCCGGCGCCTGGGAAACCCTGCCTGGTCGAGCTTTCTGGGAATTTGGGCACACGCACGAGATGGCACTGGCGCGGCTCCCACCTGTGCACAGCTTGGGAGCGCCTGGGATGTTAGAACACGTGTAGCAGAGCAACGAGTGGTGGGCTCGGGAGGCTGCGGGGGTGACGGGGCCTGGAGCCCTTCCCCCGGCGCCAGCTGTCCGTGACCCCTCCCCTGGCGGGCTCTGGGGGGCCCGTTTCGGGGGCTCTGCCCGTCTGGAGGGGCTTTCCAGTCCTGCCACGGCTCACGGGGTCCTCCTCTCAGCCGCGGTGCCTGCCCAGCCGGCCCCCTGCCCTGAGCTCCCAGCCCCTGTCCCTGGGAGCCTGCCTGCCCTGCCAGGGAGCACTGCTGGTTCCTATTACGAGTCCTCAGCAGGGCTGGTGTTGTGAACACAGACGGCGCCCCGGGGGTGGGGCTGGCCCGGGCCATGCTGGGAAAGCCCGGCAGTGGTGGAGGTGGCACAGCAGGCCTGTCTCAGGTGAGGCAGGCGGGGCCTTGGGCATCAGGCCCGACGCGGGGTGGGTGGGTGGGGAGGACTCCCAGAGGCTGGGGAGGACGTGACATGGCGGCCGTCCTGCTTGCCTCAGTCCTGCCCAGGCCTTGTCTCTGCTGCTCCTCCCTGACATGGGCCAGTGCCAGGTATGGCCAGGAGACAAAGCCTTCACTGCCACCCCTGGGTGTCATCCCCCCAACCCAGGGCTGGCTTGGCCCCAGGAGGGGACCCTCAGCGCAGGCCCCCCACCGCTCCCTTACGAGGGGAACAGGAGAGCATGGTGAGTGCTGTTTGGCTTTCCTGCTTCTGGAAGACAGTGTGGGCCCAGCCTCCTGAGAGGTCTGAGGCCACGCGTGCTCCGTGTCCGGACGCCACGGCTGTGCCCAGCTCCACTGGCCCCAGCCCCTGCTCTTCTGCTCTGGTGCCCGCATGCAAGATGACCAGTGGCCTCCCAAACGCACCCCGAGGCCAGCAGCCCCCAGAGCCTGTGATGACAGCACAGGTGGCACGCCGGGTGAAGCCCTGCTCCCTGGCAGTTCCTGTGTTTTAATCATGGGACTCAGGTTTGCCCCAGAGCATGGGGCTGACAGTTTCCTGACCACAAGGCGACCACCAGAGACTTGATGGGGCTGCCAGGGGCTCAGTGCCCAACCTGGGCACCCAGGCTCGCTCAGCACCTCCTCCCAGGACACGGCCCCGCCCACCCACTCAGTACACGGGCACCCACTCGGCCAGCCTGACCTGGCAGAGCCTTGCCCTGTAGACACCTCAGTGTGAAGCCTGGGCCACTGTCGTCCTGGGACTGGGACGCGGGTCCCTGGCCCTCTGGCCTCACCCAGTGCTGTCCCCGTGGCCTCTGGTTGGAGTGGGGATTGTGTGAGGTCAGGTGTGGGGTGGTGCCCAGTCTGGGATGGGCAGGAACTGGGGGCCAGGCCTGCGGGCCACGGTGGCTGTCCACAGCAGCCCCACGCCTGCCCCTCTGCCCTGGCCTGCAGACCAAGATAGTGGAATGTCTGGGCCCCACCACCCCTTGCTGGCCCGCTCCCCTCCTCCAGGGAGCCTCCCAGCCTGCTCAGCCTCTGCATCCTGGACACCCTGGTTCTCAGGGGGGTTTTACATTCTGTGCTGGGTGGCCCAGAGCGGCTGTCTGTTCTGCAGCGCCTATACGTCCAGTCCTGGGGCAGGCTGGGCAGAGGATCCAGAGATGGACTTGGGTCCTGCATCCCCTGTGTGCGGCTTGAGAAGCAAAGCCAGGCGTGGGAACACTACAGGAACATTGTCACCCTTTGGAGCCCCTACTTCTGGGATGGAGCTGGAAAGGAGGAGGGGCCCCGAGTGGCCCTGAGGGCCCTGGACGGTCCTGCAGGAGCTGGTCACGGGCCACCCTCTGTTCCATGGAGCCTCTCGGTTGTGCCGTCCTCGTGGGTTGATCTGGGCCCCTCTCCATGTCCCCAGCCATCAACTCCTGTGCCATGGGCAATGGTGGCTGCCAGCACGACTGTGTCCAGCTCACGGTGACCCAGCACCGGTGCCAGTGCCGGCCTGAGTTCCAGCTCCAGGAGGACGGCAAGCGCTGTGTCCGTGAGTGTGCGCCGGCCCTCAGGAGGGGGTGCTGGGCTGGGACCCCCGATGGGCCGCCATGCTCCACGCACCCACACACCTGCCCGGGAGTGCAGTAGCCTGAGCCTAGTGCAGGGGCAGAGGCAGCCAACACCTCCCTGCTTGGCTGCTGGGGCTGGAAAGGGACCTCAGGGGAGGTGGGGCCCCCTTGGCTGCTGAGGGGCAGTGGGCATCACTCGGCTCCTGGCGGGCGTCAGGGAGGAAGCTCTTAGGCTGTGCTCTGGGGTCACACATCTGTGGGGACAGGACGCTCAGGACGGGCATCCTGCGTGGTCCTTGGCTCTGAGACCCAGCCTGGGCTCGGCGGGGGACGTGGGACCCAGGTGCCAGCCCTTGGTGGAGGAGGCAGGCCAGGCCCCATCTGGCACCTTGCCCTTGGGCCTCGGGCTGCCTGTCAAGGAAGGAGGGGGTTTTGCTGATGAAGGTGGAGCAGGCTCCAGGGTCCCCCTGAGATATGAAGATGAAGGGCGGGGTGGAGCAGGTGCTGAGACGTGCCCCCCACCCCCAGCCTGGCCTCATAGGTCCCTGGCCAGGAGTGAGTACGGTGGGCCCGAGGGCCCAGGCCAGCAGTGGGTGCAGTGGCACGGGGTCACGGGGCTGGGGGAGCTCCCGGGCACCTTGGTTCCAACAAGGAGAAGAGTCTGGGGAGGAACAGGCCAGCACCTGCTGTGTTCTTGGGGGTGTCACCAGGGCTCCCACGTCTGGGAGGAGGGAGACCCACTGCTCTGCCTGTCAGACTGGACACAGAGGGAGGGGTGAGAGCGCCAGGTGGGGCCTCACAAGAGGCACTGGGCCAGGTACCCCGACTCTGCCAGAGTCCCCTACCTCCCACCCTAACCTCTTCCCCTTCGGTCCCGTGCCTGCAGGGAGAAACCCGTGTGCAGACCGGAACGGTGGCTGCATGCACACGTGCCAGGCGCTCCGGGGCCTCGCCCACTGCGAGTGCCACGCAGGATACCGGCTGGCCGCGGACCGCAAGGCCTGCGAAGGCAAGACGCCCTTCCCATGCTCCGGTCGCGCCCCATGGTCAGCGGAGGAGGGGCCCGGGTCCCGCTGGGCTGGCGTCCCTGCATCTGCTGCTCCCGGCCTTGTGGGAGCAGGGCTGGCCTGGGGTGGCCCACGCTCACCTGGGCTGCTGGGGGCCTGGGGCCGGGGAGGAGGGGCAGGGACACACGCAAGGGCTGCTTCCAAGCAGAGCCTCATTTCTGCAGCAGCAAGCGGGAGACTTCAGCTGTGTTTTACTTTTAAATATTTCTGGTAGCACCTAAGCAAGACCTGCTTGTTAGGGAAACAGAAGCGATAAGGAAGAGGAAAGGGAGGAAGCATCACCCTGAGCCCGGGGGACACCGCGCGCGCTGTCTCTGCGGGTGTTGGCGCACGTGGTCAGTCACCCAGATCCCAGCGGGGGTGCTTCCGAGACCGGCTCCCATGTCCCAGGCTGCAGGGGCCTCCGCCGGGCGCTGGGCCGGGTGGGCTAGTCACCCCCTCAGGACTTTCAGGTGCCCCCACTCCTCCCTGTCACATGCGGCTCTGCAGGAGGGGTCCGTGTGTGTGCGCCCTGCCAGATGGCCGTCGGGGACAGGCTGCAGGTGCGGAAGCCCTGTGGCTCCGCGCGTCACCAACCCAGGAACCCTTTCCAATGTCACTCTGGAAGCAGGCGGCTTGGCAGGCACAGCAGGACACAGGGCCGAGTGTCGGCTTCTTCATCCCAAGGAATCGGGGGGGGGGGTGACAAAGCTGTGGCTGGGGACACAGCCCTGGGTCCTGATGCCAGTGCTGATAACAGCACGCCAGTGTCAGCTGTGGGGCATTTTCTCCCTCTGGTCCCAGAGGCAGGAGTGGAAAGGCCCCTCCTGGGCCAGGCCCTGGACAGGGGGCTTGGTGAGATTGGAGAGGGCACAGGGAAAGGACGGCGGCTCAGAGAGGCGGAGCCCGTTGCCCAGCGCTGCGGGTGGGCCTGAGTGCAGGCCTGGGGCTCCAGGGCCGACTTCAGCTGTGCCTTCCTTGCTCACTGGAAGCTTGTTGATGAAAATGCCGACGCCGGAGGGGCTGGCCCTGGTCCTGGAGCCACAGGATGGGGGGGCGGGAGAAGACATGGGGTGGCCCCTCTCCCGGCACCGGGGGCCTGAGCCCTGACCCCCACGGGGTCCCCTCCACGCTAAGGCGCCGCCCCTGGGGGTGCATCTCCCAGGCCAGCGGCCCAGAGCCCTCCCTCTTGACCTCTCCCATCTAGACGTGGACGAATGTGCCACGGGGCTGGCCCAGTGTGCCCACAGCTGCCTCAACACTCGCGGGTCCTTTAAGTGTGTGTGCCACACAGGCTACGAACTGGGGGCCGACAGCCGGCAGTGCTACAGTGAGTGGGCAGTGGGCAGTGGGCATGGGCACCGTGGGGCGTGGAGGTGCCTGCGGTCCACAGCGTGGCTCCCTGGCCCCCGCAGGCTGCCTGCTTGCTTTGGCTGAGGGCCAGGGCTTCCTTGTCAGTCAAGGGCAGTGATGGGTGTGGGTGAGCCCTGGCTCAGGAGCCCCCTGCTGCCTGTTTGCCAGCAGAGTGGGCCTGGGGGCCCCAGGCTGGCTGCTGGGTGGGGGAGGACACGCTAAGTGGGGGGTGTCACCCCAGACCCTGTCCCACGTCCCTGGTGGCGGGTCTCGTCTCAGGGATTGAGATGGAGATTGTGAACAGCTGCGAGGCCAACAATGGCGGCTGCTCCCACAGCTGCAGCCACAGCAGCGGGGGGCCCCTGTGCTCCTGCCCCGGAGGCTACGAGCTGGACGAGGACCAGAAGACGTGTGTCGGTGCGAGCCGGCTCCTTCCAGACGCCCCACGCCCCAAACCCGGGGCTCACGGCTGCAGACTGGTTTGATGCCATGACACGGAAGCTTCCTCCTGTCACACCCAACACTCTCTGCCCCAGGCCGGGGGGGGGGCCCTGGGGGCAGGCAGCACAGTGACCCCCTGAGTACTCCCCAGCCCAATGGCCCCATCAGTGCCCCCTCCTCCAGCTCAGCTCAGTCGGGTAAATGCCCTGCGTGCTGTGGTGTGTGGGGGTCCTCCCCTCACAGGGAAACCCTGCCTCCAAGGTGGGCTCCCCACCCCCACCTCCAGGCTGGCCCTCACAGCAGGTGGGGTGGCTCTGGGGCTGTAACATGTGTCCTGTGGGTGTCTGTGTATGCAGGACCAGGAACAAATGTGGGTGCCTGTGGATGGTGTGTGGGTGTGCGTGGGCTGTGTGGGTGGGCGTGGGCTGGGTGCCAGCGGGCTGCTGTGTGTGCCCTCAGACATTGACGACTGTGCCGACTCACCATGCTGCCAGCAGGTCTGCACCAACAGCCCTGGCGGGTACGAGTGCAGCTGCTACGCCGGCTACCAGCTCAGCCATGATGGGTGCGGGTGTGAGGGTGAGCGGGGGCAGCGGGGGAGTGGGGCCACCCTAAGGAAAGGCACGGGCGCTCTGGCCCTGCCCTGTGCTCTGGGTGTTGGCTGAGCCCCTGCCGTCCGAAGGGCCGTACGGATCTGCCCACTTGCCCTCCGGCCTGTGGTCTCTCACAGGACAGGGCTGGCACCCCTGGCTGCTCCCAGCCGGGCCTCCGTTGGGCAGTGCATCCACTGTCACTCTGATCCTGGGGACGGGAGGATGGCTGCGGCAGGGGCGTCACCCAGTAGGCATGGCCGCTGGGCCTCAGTCCAGCAGATGGATCTGGGCAGGAGGGGCCTCCCGAGCCCCCGAGCCCTGGAGGACAGGCCCCAGCAGCCCCCGGTTTGCCCACAGACGTGGACGAGTGTGCGTCCAGCCGAGGCGGCTGTGAGCACCACTGCATCAACCTGGTCGGCTCCTTCCAGTGTTCCTGTGAGGTTGGCTTCCGGCTGGACGAGGACCGCAGGGGCTGCACCTGTGAGTCTCCGCCTGTCACCAGCTGGACTCCTTCCCGGAGTGCCGTGCCTCCTGTCTTCTTGGCACCCAGCTTCCTGGATGGCTGGACCTCACGTTAGCCCTGCCTCCTGCTGGGGGACAGGCCAGGGCAGCAGGGTGGGGGAAGGGCCTGGTCAGATAGGCGTTCCCCAGGGCACAGTGTCACTCAGGTTTCGGGTCGTCCAGCTTCGGGTCTGCCCAGGTGAGAGAAGGGACATCATCCCCAGGACTGAAGACAGCGTCCAGAGGGGCAGAGAGCTCTCCTGCCCCCTACCTCCCCTCCATGTCCGAGGTCCCTAGAGCCAGGGTGGGAGCTGGGCTGGAGCTGGGATAGATGTGGCACAGGTCAGTCCCCAGGGCCCAGAGCCTTGTCTGTCCTGAGATGTAGGGTCAGGAGAGCAGCTGGGGCCCCCACCCCCCACACTCCACCCAAGACCAGGGAAAGGAGGGCATTGAGAGACTGTAGGTGGGGGCCCTGGGGTGGGGCTCAGGCCCTGAGCTGGGACAGGGGAGGCACCCCGAGGTGGACAGCAGGGGCTAAGGGGCCTTTGTGTGCCGCCCAGCCCTGGAGGTGGCCGAGGTGGACCTGGATGGCCAGCTGCCCTTCGTGCGGCCCCTCCCACACGTCTCGGTGCTGCGGGACCAGCTGCCCCACCTCTTCCAGGATGACTACATGGGCGCCGAGGAGGAGGAGGAGGCAGAGGCCCGGGGCGAACACACGCTGGCGGAGAAGTTTGGTGAGAGCCAGTGCCAGCCCGGGCTGCTGCTCCGAGGGAGGCCGCCGGTGTCCCCTCGGGCCGCCCTTCGGTTTTGGGCTTGAGGAAGGACCCCTGCAATGGCCTCGCCTGACTGAGGCTGAGCGTCCAGCCTCATGCGCAAGTTTGCACAGCGCGTCCGGGGCTGGACCGGGCCCCAGGCTCCCCGGCTAGGGCCCCTCCAGACCCCGGCATCTGGCTTCCACCTCCCGCCTTGCCCACTGGGGGCTTTCATGGGCAGAGGACGTCCCTTGTGCCACCTTCTCAGGCCTAAGGGCCAGAGCCGATGCCCATGCACTGGAGCTGGGCGGGTCTGAGGCCCCTCTCCTGTCTGCCCCCAGTCTGCCTGGATGACTCCTTCGGCCCAGACTGCAGCCTGACCTGTGATGACTGCAGGAATGGAGGGGCCTGCCTCCCGGGCCTGGACGGCTGCGACTGCCCCGAGGGCTGGACCGGGCTTGTCTGCAACGAGAGTGAGGCTGCTGTGCCAGGGATTGGGGAGTGGGACGGGGGCAGGGGCCTGAGAGCCCCAGGACCTGCGGACAGCCCATTCAGTTTGCTCCTCACCAGCCTTGGGCAGGGGCGTCCACGTGGATTTATCCGTTCACTCACTCACTCACTCGTTCCCTTATTCATTCAGTGTCTACCTCTGCCTGCTCTGTGCCAGGCACTGATCTAGGTGCTGGGAGGCCCTGGGAAGTAACCAGGTCAGTTGTCTGCCCCTCACAGATGTCGCAGTTGACAGGGGTCCAGTGACAAGCCAGCAGCTGAGACAGTGAAGGGTGTCTGACGAAGGGGAGCTGGTGGGTGGACCAGCCATGCGTGTCCCAGTGGGAGCAGTGGCTTCCCCAGGCCCCACAGCACGCTGGTAGCTAGCGTACATTTGAAAACTGCTCTCCCGGCCCCTGTCCAGAGCCTGTGCCACTCCCTGTCCAATGACCCCGGACCAGGGATGGCCCTGGCACTTTGGTCTCAGGGCTGTAGTGACTGTCTCTGAGGGTCCGCCTGTTGAAAATCCTGGGAGGGGAAGGTGGATGGGCTGGAGTTCAGGGGGAGAGGATGTGGCGATCGGTGAGTGATGTCTGTCCTGCGTGTGGGCGGCGACCTGGGGTATGAGTGCCACGCGTGTTGCTCTGGGCAGCTGCTTTTGAACTGGGCGTCTCAGTGCCCCTGGAGGGGCTTCTGGGCCCAGAGTCCTTCTGTGGCCGGTGAGCTACTGCTTCCCTGTCACCCCTGCAGCTTGTCCTCCGGACACCTTCGGGAAGAACTGCAGCTCGTCCTGCAGCTGTCAGAACGGTGGGGCCTGCGACCCCGTGACGGGGGCCTGCCGCTGCCCTCCAGGCGTCAGTGGAGCCCACTGTGAGGATGGTGAGTGCAGTCCCTCTGTGCCTCTGGGACTGTCCCTGGGGTGGATGGGAGTGGGAGGCACCACCTCTGAGCTCCCCCCCCCGGCTTTTTCCTAGTGGCCTTCCTTCCACGGGAGTGGGGAAAGCAACACGGATAAGGCCCTTTATTAAGAAAGACATTGATTTTTCATTGTTTGCTAGTTTTCTTGGGGCCTAACTGATAGCAGATAGTGAGGACTTGACAGAAGACTAGCACTTTGGAATGGGTTCCCCTGATAGGTAGTGAGCTCCTCGTTCCTGGAAGCATTCAAGTAGAGCTATCTGGCAGCCAGGTGGGATTTGCTGAACGGATCACCCTGGACCCGTAGCTGCACTTCCTTTCTAACTCGGAAGTCGCAACGTTTCTGGAGGAATTGGAGAGTCCACATAGACAGTTTTCTCAGGCGACTAATGCTTCATCTTTAAGTCTTCAGACCTTCAAAATTCTGCCCCTCTCGCTGGAGAAGTAGCTAATGTATGGAGAGCTTCCTGCCCTGGCCAGCGGAGGCTAGCAATCCCTGCGCCCTGTCCGCAGTGCCTCGGAGTGGCCCATGAGGTCCGAGGGGCCGGTTTCAAAGTCCTGGGCAGCTGTCAGGGCTCTCCTCCTCCTCCCTCTGCTCAGTCTTCTTTCTTCCCTTCCGACCTGACATTTCTGCTCTGCTGAGGGCTGAGCTATCCACTGCCTGTTAGAAGCTGCCTGTGTGACGGGCCCTGAGTGGACCCCAAGGACTCCAGGCAGGTAAAGGGTCTGCTTTTCAGCGCTTCTGCTTGTGGTGTCATGTGGCTTCCCAGAGACGTGGGTTTCAGTTGGGGTCCTGCGGGTAAAGTGCGCAGGTGAGCGTGCGGTCAGTCCTAAGAGACGCCTGGCAGGCCGGTTTTCAGGCGGGAGGGCTCCTCGACCGCTGAGTTCATTCCCTGGACTCCAGGCGTCACTGGGCTGCGGCCCCGCCAGGCTCCGCTCCGTGTTCCCACCTCCAGCCTCCCTCTCCTTTCTCTTCTAAGGACGCTTGTTGGATTTAGGCCAGCTTAGGTAACCCACGGTCCCCCCTGGAGATGCTGGGGATTAGGACATGGACAGATCTCAGGGTCACCGTCCAGCCCCCCAGGGCCCCATTCAGAGGCAGGATCAGGGCGGGCGAAGCACTTCGGGGAGGAAAGCGGAGCCCTTTCCTCGCTCTGAACCCTGAGCTGGAGCCCGGGATCCTGGCCAGCTGGGGCTGTGTGTCCTTCCCTCGTTGAGGTCCAGAGGTCAGGCTCGGGGCCATCGAGGGACAGAAGTCAGGATGCTGTAGATGTGGGTCAGATACGGGAGGTGGGGGTGAGGTCCTTGTGCGTATCCCACGTGTGTGCTGAGCAACGTGCTTGGCCTGTCACGCTGGCCACCGACCAGGCCACAGACCGTGGAGAGGACAGGCCAGCCAGGGCAGTCGGCCACGTCCATGGGGTTCATCTCATGCCTGCCCTGACCTTGTGGTGCTCTCACCCACCTCCCGGCTCCTTCCCTGTCTGGGATGCTGGGTCCTCAGGCTGCTGGAGGGCCCGAAGCCCTCTGGCCATGCCCCAGTGGTCCAGGCCACTCCTGGCTCCTGGCTGGGCGCTGGGGTCCCCCGGAGCATCTCGGGCATGGGGGCTGTGTCTGGGTGGGCGCTGATGAGGCCCCACCTTCTCCCAGGCTGCCCCAAGGGTTTCTACGGCAAACAGTGCCTCAAGAAGTGTAACTGTGCCAACCAGGGCCGCTGCCACCGCCTCTATGGGGCCTGCCTCTGTGACCCAGGTCTCTACGGCCGCTACTGCCGCCTGGGTGAGTCCCGCTGCCCACCGGCTGCCCCAGGGCTGAGGGTCTGAGCACTCGTGCTGTGCCTTACGGCCCCCAGTCTGGCTTGGGTTTGACTGTTCACCATTGGCAGATGAGGACACGGGGGTCAGTGAGGTCCCCTGGCTGGGATGTGGGGTCCTTTCTAGGTCTGTGTTCTCAAGGCCACACCCTCCGGACTGCCTGCTTCCAGGGCGTCTGGGTGGGTGGGCCCTAGCCCAGATCTGGGAGGTGGCAGGCCTCTCGGAAGCCCCTGGGGCACAGTGCTCATCTTGGCTTTTGGAGCTTCCGGGAGGCAAGGTTGAGTCCTGAGCCCCCAGTGGGGTCACCATTCCCTGGTCCGGGGAGGGCAAGGAAGGGCGACTGGATGAGGGCTTCGTCCCAGCAGCTCTTTACATGATCTGTAAAAGGACTGTTCAGAGGAGCGAACACTGGGACTCCAAGACCTTCCTCGCTGGAAGGGGGTGACCCAGGGCAAACTTGAACTTCACTGAGACCCCGTTTCTTGTCTATAAAACGGGCACAGTGGCCCGGTCCTCTGGGACACCAGTGGCTGGGGCAGATAGTGCCAGCTCTGTGCTGGGTCCCGGGACTGGGGAGGGACTGGTGCACACAGGCGGCGGGCCCCTCACGGTTCTGTGGGTGCAGCCTGCCCGCCGTGGGCCTTCGGGCCGGGCTGCTCTGAGGAGTGCAGGTGTGAGCAGCGGAACACGCAGGCGTGCGACAGCCGGGACGGCAGCTGTCTCTGCAAGGCGGGCTTCAGGGGCAAGCGGTGCCAGGACGGTGAGTGCAGGGGTGTGGGGGGCGCCCTTGGGGCCGGCTGAGCCCTGCAGGCCCCTTTCTCCTTGCCCCCTGCAGAGTGTGAGCCTGGCTTTTTCGGGCCGGGGTGTCGGCAGGCATGTGTCTGTCCTCCGGGCTTGGACTGTGACCCCGTCAGTGGCGAGTGTGGGAAGCAGTGTCCTGCTGGCTACCGGGGGAAGGATTGTGACCAAGGTAAGTGGCTGGCCCCTGGTGGCTGGGTGGGGTGCGGGCCATCGGGCCCGAGCTGGGCTCTGGGCACCAGAAGTCCTGTGAGTGGAGGCTGAGTCAGCCCTGCACCTGCCTGGCGCGGGTTGCCACCTTTACCTGACGTGTCCCTGTCCTCGTCGTGTTGGCCTTCCTGTCCCTGTGCCCCTGTGAGCGCTGCTAGTGTGTGTGGCCAGGGCCTGGCCCAGAAAATGGTCGATGCCACTCCAAAAATCGTTCCCTCGCTCACTCATTCATTCCCCTGGAATATATTGAGCGTGCATCGCGCTGGAGCTGGGGTGCAGGAGTGCCTTCCTGATGGCCTGAGCCAGCCAGCCAGAGGCAGCTGCTCCTGGGGGTGGTGGCCATGGGCCAGACTGGAGGCCTGGGGGTCCCTCACTTACATTTCATAGTCAGAGAGGGCAAAAGTCCTCAGTGTGAGCACTGAGGCTGCTATGCTGATGGCAGGTTGGGACTTCCCTTGGCACACACGCTGTCTGCACCCGTCGGTCCCTGGTGGACAGGGCCTGGGGCGGGGGGCTGTGGTATGACTGCGTGATGAAAGCCAGGGGCAGCTGGCTTGAGCTACCCCCACCGGTAGGCCCATCCCCCCAGAGCTGCCACCTAGCTGCCCATCTGGGAAACAAGGAGGCACCTGGGACTCAGCCTAGCCTGAACTGAGGAGTCCGTCTGCACCCAGGCCAGCTCCCCCGTGCGGTGGTCCTGGGGATCCCGGTGACGACCCTTTAGAGAGCTCTTGGTCCTGTTCGTACAGGACAGGTGTGTGGGGCTCGGAACCCAGCCGGGACCCCAGCCCGACTTGGTCTCTGATGCGCCCTGTGGTCCTGGGCCACCTTTAGCCGTCTGGTCCGTGGAAGCACCACAGAGGCTCAGGAACCACGCTGGCCGGCCGGCGGTCCTGGCTCCTCTGCCCCCACCCCCACTCACACGCATGAGCACATGCGCACACGTGCAAGTCACCACCCCCGGCCCCGCGCCAGAGGCCTGTGTGCTGAGACTTGGAGGAGCTTCACCGCAGCTCTTCCCTGCTGGCTTTCTTATTCTTTCTTTTCCTTTTCTCTTTAAAAGCCTCCAGTGCTGTAAGGATGAGCTACAGGAAATGACACACATATTTTTGTAGAGATGATGGGCCCCCCACTGTTGTTAGGTCTGGAAAATATTACTGCCCCAAACACGCGTCTGCCCCCAATTAGCAGAGAGGGAGCGCCTGAGGCCTGGTGAGACGGCTTCAGCCCACACCGCCAGCCTCTCCCCGGCGTGGGTGCCGTGTGCACACCGCACGCGTGTGAGCTGCGCCCCATCATCTAGTGTGTGCACTTGTGCTGCGCCTGTGCCCCGTGGGGGTGTGTGGGGGTGTGCCCTCGGGATGGGCTGTAATAACACGTTTTGCTGGAGTGTGTCCTCTGTCCCGGAGGCCCCATCAGGACCCAGGCCTGGGACTCCGCCACCCTGGCCCAGGCAGGGCACATCCTAGCTGGCAGCCCTGCGAGAGGGCTTATTCTGTGGGTGGGACCCTTGGCCGCAGCCGCCCTCTCCACGTGCTCTGCATGCCTTCCTGGGTCTTCTAGCAGCGTGACGTGGGCGTGTGGCGCCGGGGCAGGCAGGTGCCTTTCATTACCCGGGTCACTCCCGCCAGGGCAGGCGTGGGGAGTGCGGAGGGGGCCTGTGAGGCCCTCAGGACGGGGCAGAGCGGGGCTCGGGGCAGCCATTCTTCCCGGAGGCCTTGCTACCGCTGAGCCCGCCTGGGCCGCTGTTTCCCAGGACGCTCTCACTCCTCGGTGGTGGTGGGGGGACATGGGGGGGCGACACCACAGAGGGTTCCCAGGTGGGTCCAGGTGGCGGGCGGGAGGGAAGACTTGGCCCTGCCACCCGTTCCCGGGCACTGTTCAGGGTCCCGCGTGCCTGACGCAGCCTCAGCCTCGCTGACTGGCAGCCCTGGCCTGCCGCACCCCAGGCCTGACCGGCTATGTCCCCCACTCTGCCCCACGGCCCTTTCCACCCTGCCCCGTATCCTCTGTCCCCTGCCCACTCCTGTGTCTTCCTTGGTCACCCGGGGGACCCCGACTGCGTTCAGCATCCCCACGAAGGCAGGGGGCAGCTGCAGGGGGAGGAGGGGCCCCTGAGGGAGGACAACAGCTCCGTGTGGGGGTGGCTGAGGCCCTTCCTACCCCCCTCTGCAGAATGCCCAGCGGGGACGTTTGGTGTGAACTGCTCAGGCTCCTGCTCCTGTAGCGGGGCCCCATGCGACAGGGTCACGGGGCAGTGCCTGTGCCCACCTGGGAGGACCGGGGATGACTGCGGGGCAGGTGAGTGGCAGGCATGTTCTGTGGGCCCCTCATCCCTGTGCTGCACGACTCCGGGGTGGCCCCAGCCTGGGCCATGTTTCGGGAGGCCTGCCCAGCCCGGGCCCTGCAGACCCCATGCGTGTCCACAGCAGCTGCAAGAGCTCTTGCTGCACTACCCTTGCGTCTGGGCATGGGGGTTGCAGCTGACCTGGCTGGCCGTGCCCACAGAGGGCGCCAGAAACCTGCCGGCCACAGGGACAGGTTGGCCAGCAGGGCCCCCAGCCCTTCCCAGCCTGAGGTTTACCCTCTAAGCTGCCTTTTTACTGCGTGAGGGTCCTCTGCCCCCTCTGATGACTCCCCATTGTGCCTCTTGAGCCATCCTGGGGCAGGGGCTCCTCTTCTGGGAGTGGCACCCTGTTGCCCGAGGAGGGGCCGGGCATCCCCCAGACCTGCCCCTCTGCCTCCCTGGGCTGGCTCAGATGGGAGCAGTGGTTCCCACTGCTGGGCACGGCATTCGGTGCTGTGCCAGACAGGCCAGCAAGACCCTGGGAGACTGACTGGCCGTGGGGGCACTAGATTGCCCCGAGGGCCGCTGGGGGCTTGGCTGCCAGGAGATCTGCCCTGCATGCGAGCACAGTGCTGCCTGTGAGCCTGAGACTGGAGCCTGCCGGTGCCACCCCGGTTACACGGGCAGCCGCTGCCAGGACGGTGAGTGCCGTGCCGCCCGACCTCGGCCCCCTACCTGTGGCCCTTAGCTCCGCCGCTCACCCGCCTTCCCCTGCAGTTTGCCCGGCAGGCTGGTTTGGGCTGGACTGCCACATGAGGTGCTCCTGTGCCAATGACGGGCACTGCCACCCAGTGACCGGACGTTGCAGTTGTGCCCCTGGGTGGACCGGCCTCAGCTGCCAGTCAGGTAGGTGGCCCTCGTCCAGCGTCCCTCCTCCTGGAGAAGCCTCCACTCAGGACCTGGGGGGCTGGCAGAGGCCCCAACCCTGGCCTGGCCGTGCTGCCGGTGGGCTCGGCCGGGCCTAGCCAGGGTGACGGGGCTGTGTTGCAGCCTGTGACAGCGGGCACTGGGGACCTGACTGCAGCCACGCCTGCAACTGCAGCGCAGGCCATGGGAGCTGCGACGCTGGCAGCGGCCTGTGCCTGTGCGAGGCCGGCTACGTGGGCCCGCGGTGCGAGCAGCGTGAGTCCCGGCCCGGCCCACAGCCGTGCTCCCTGGGTGTGCATGCGAGGGTGGGGGCTCCAGCCCTGCCCCCCAACCCCCAGACAAGCAGGTGGTCTCCTTACCTGCACTCATCCAGCTCCCGCCCCCAGTCTGGGCCCTGGCCTCACCCTTCCACTACCTGGCCCCACATTAGGCCCCTGGAGCAGCAGGCAGGGAGAGGGGGGCCTGCCATACCCCATGGGCACCTGGCACCTGCAGAAGGGAGGAGGGTGGCTGCCAGGGACCGAGGGCCATGCCCTTCAGTGTACCCTCTGCGGCTGGGTTGGTGGGTACGGCTGGGCCTGGAGCAGGACCTCCTTCAGGCATTCCCAGAGGTCACACCTGGGCAGAGACGGGGGCAGAGGCATGTGGGTGAGCCCAGCACCCTTGGGGCAGGGAGTCAGTCCCTTCCACTCGGTCTCCGGCCGCCGCTGGGATGGCAGAGGCCCTGGTCAGGACTGGGCTAGGCTCAGCCCCCAGCTAATGGTGGGCCGGGGCCATGTGTCTCAGGGTGTCCCCAGGGCCGCTTTGGGCCGGGCTGTGGGCGGCGGTGCCAGTGTGAGCACGGGGCAGCCTGTGACCACGTCAGCGGGGCCTGCACCTGTCCGGCTGGCTGGAGAGGCACTTTCTGCGAGCTCGGTGAGCCAGGGAGGGGCAGGCCGGGGTGGCCAGGAGTGTGTGGGGGGGCCCGGTGACCCAGGCCATCTCCCCATCACCGACCCCCACCTGCAGCCTGCCCGGCCGGCTTCTTTGGACTGGACTGCCATCGTGCCTGTGACTGTACTGCGGGGACCCCCTGTGACGCTGTGAGCGGCACCTGCCTCTGTCCTGCTGGCCGCCGGGGCCCCCGCTGCGCCCAGAGTGCGTGAGGCCCTGTCAGCCCTGGGTGTTGTGGAGGGGGCTGGTTCACTGTGCTAGACACACTCCTGGGCCTTGTCCTGGCTGAACGAAGCTGCCCGCTGGCCACCCCGGGAACAGTGCTTTGCCCACGAGGCAGCATGTTGATCCCTATTTGTGGCCACTCTGAGGGACGCCCAGGCCACAGGGAAGGATAGAGTGACCACAGTGCCCCGGGGACCCCAGATCGGCTGCCGCCCTTTCCAGAGTCCATCTCCCCAGACGCCCGACCACCCTCTCTCCTGCAGCCTGCCCAGCCCTCACCTATGGGCACAACTGCAGCCAGGCCTGCTCCTGCTTCAATGGGGCCTCCTGTGACCCGGTACATGGGCAGTGCCACTGTGGCCCTGGCTGGACGGGCCCCACCTGCCTGCAGGGTAAGCCCCACCCAGCAGTCTGGGGCCAGGCGTTAGGCTCGCCCCTCACTGGGCTGAGCAGGTCACATGGGCTTGGCATGCTGTCTGCACACCAAGGCTCACCTGGACAGGTGGGCAGGAAGGGGTGGGGCCTGGCGCCTCCACGGGGCACCTGGCGCCTGGGGGAGGGAAGGAAGGTGGACACTTAGGACCCAGGGTCTTACCCTTCAGTGCTGAGCCTCAACGGCTGGCGGGGCCCTCCTGGCTGGGAGGGGGCCCAGGCCTCTGTGGGCCTGGCTGGCGAGGCTGCACGGTGCTCCCTCCTCTGTCCCCCTCAGCCTGCCCCGAGGGTCTGCACGGCGAGAATTGTCAGCATTCCTGCCTCTGCCAGAACGGGGGCTCCTGTGACCCTGTCTCAGGCTACTGCACCTGCCCAGAGGGCTGGACCGGCCTGGCCTGTGAGAAGGGTGAGCACTGGGCAGGCAGAGGAGAGCGGAGGCTCTCGGGTTTGTGAGGCAGGGCTGGCACGCCAATGGGCCGCGGGCCGCCCCCTCCCTCTGTGGCCAGACGTGGCTCTCTGGTTGTGGGGAACATCATCCTCGGTGTGTGGCTTCGGGCCTGCAGCGTGACCAGCACCCCACCTGTCCTGCCTGAGGCTCTGGGTGCAGGAAACATGGGTAGGGCAGGGGCCTCTGGGTCCTGGGGCGTAGCCCTACCCCGGGAAGTGGGACCCCCATCCTGTTCCCACCCCTGCAGAGTGCCTCCCAGGGCGCTTCGGAGCCGGCTGCCAGCACAGCTGCAGGTGTCTCAACGGCGGCCTCTGTGACCGGCACACGGGCCGCTGCCTCTGCCCGGCTGGCTGGACCGGAGACAAGTGCCAGAGACGTGAGTAAGACAAGCTGGGGGCTGGTGCGGGGAGGCCTGGAGGCCCCATTGGACCAACAAGGGGCAGTCTTAGCCCCACTCCAGGGTGTGGGGGCCTCAGCAAGGGGGTCAGTTGGCACATAAGGGTTGGGGCTGCTGTCTGAGCTACCCAGGGTTCTGTGCGGGAGGGTCTTGGCCCAGGAAGCCCACCAGAGGGAGGTGGGGTACCGTTGGCCCCAGCCCGGCCTCTGGGGACTCAGCCCTCCTGCTGTCTTGTCCTGCAGCCTGTGCCGGGGGCACGTTTGGGGCTCACTGCAAGGAACACTGTGCCTGCCGGCGGGGAGCCACCTGCCACCACGTCACCGGGGCCTGCCTCTGCACCCCAGGATGGAGGGGTTTACTCTGCGATAATGGTGAGCCCCCAGCCCCGCCAGCACACAGGGGGCCCACTGGCCAGGTGGGAGTGGGTCCTTTACCCCGTGAGCCCTCCGGGCCTGCGCTGGCCCCAGGCTCCCCCAAGCCCAGCCCGTGCCTTCCTGCAGCCTGTCCGCATGGCTGGTTTGGAGAGGGTTGCACCCAGCGCTGCCAGTGCCCACCTGGCACGGCCTGCCACCACATCACTGGGGATTGCCGCTGTCCCCCAGGCTTCACTGGGTCTGGCTGTGAGCAGGGTAGGTGACCGAGTGGGGTGGGCCCTGGGCAGTGGGTGGCTCAGCCCCTCCTGATGTGGCCTGAAGCTCAAGTTGCATGTTCCCCTGAGCTGTGCCTCAAAACCTATGCCAAGAGGGTCACGGGGGCAACTCGGGAGGCACCTGTTTTGGGCTGGGCCAGGACTGACCCCTCTGCCTGCACCCCAGCCTGCCCACCCAGCACCTTTGGGGACAGCTGTGGGCAGAAGTGCCAGTGTCCCGGCGGGAACCAGGCCTGCCACCCTGCCTCGGGGGCCTGCGTGTGCGCTGCTGGCTACCACGGCACCGGCTGCCAGCAACGTGAGTGCTGCCTGGGCTGCCCGCAGGGAGGCCCTCATTCAGGGCGGGGAGGGAGGTTGCCAGGCTCTGCACCGGGGAGCAGACCCAGCGCCCGGGGCCCTGGCAGCTGGTCTCTCCCCCTGCAGGTTGCCCACCCGGGCGCTTTGGGCCTGGCTGTGAGCAGCTGTGTGGATGTCTCAACGGGGGCTCCTGTGACGCGGCCACGGGGGCCTGCCACTGCCCCGCTGGGTTCCTAGGGACAGACTGCAGCCTCAGTGAGTGGCTGGGTGAGGGCAGGGTGGCCCTTCCCTGTGCCTCAGTGGGCGGTGCCCTACCACCCAGTTTGCCTGGAGGACAGTCCCCAGACCACCCACCCCTCTAGATTTCCCGTTGGCCCCAGGCTGGGCTAAGCTGGGGGTTGCCCCGCAGTCCAGCTCCGCAGTCCAGCTCCTCCCAGCCGTGTGCTATGCCCTCACTTGGGTCATGCCCACCAGTAGTGGGTGCTCCACCGTGCAAAGGCCAGTGGGCATCCTGCTGAGAACAAGACCTTTCCCTGAGTCATGTGGGGACTTTCTACCATCTGGAATGCTGGCTGGGCTGGCGGGGGTGGGGTGGGGGCCCCAGCGAATCACTGTCACTGCAGAGCAGGCCCCGCCCCCAGCAGAGCCTGGGGAGAGAGGCGGTGCCAGGCCTGCTGGAAGCCGGGGTTAGGCGTCTCCGCCCTGTCTGCCAGACTCAGCAGACGCCCGCCTCACGCTGTCCATCCTGCCCTGTCCCACCATGGCAGGCAGAAGGGGGTCCAGCCACAGCAGCCACCCTCCCTTTCCTCCCGGCAGCCTGTCCGCAGGGCCGCTTCGGCCCCAGCTGTGCGCACGTATGCAGATGTGGGCAGGGGGCAGCCTGTGACCCTGTGACTGGCACCTGCACCTGCCCCCCAGGGAGGACCGGCACCCACTGTGAGCGTGGTGAGTCCCCGTTCACCTGCAGCCTTGGGCGCTTCCCGGCATCACCCCATCAGCCACAGTGCGGGCCGGCGGTGCAGAGCGGTGGCGTCCCATGGCACAGTCACACCTGCGGCCTCTGTTGCGCCCCACCCCTCCACCAAGGATCCCTTGGGATAAGAAGTGAGGGCCTTGTTTGTGTGGACGCAGTGCCCTGCTCTGGTCAGCAGGCCATCTAACACCACCTTACTCCTGGCCTTGGCCTTGGCCCCTGATTCAGGCTATCAGGTGACCTGTCTATATCCCTGTGGCCAGTGGAGCCTGAACAGTGTCTGACCCAGAGCCCCTCTACCCCCATAGCAGGAGGGGCCAGGTGGCTGTTTTCTTTGAGGACAGTGCCAGCCTCCTGACGGATGTCCCCTTGGAACAGGGTTCTGCTGGCCCAGGGTGGGAACCCCCGGCACAGGGAGGCCTGGAGCACAGGCCTTGGTGGAGAAATGGATGGCCCTGGGGGTGGTCATGGAATTCACAGCTGGTCCCCATGGCCACATCCACAGCCCCCGAGCCTGGCCCCCTGGTATGTCTGAGCATTCTGCCACCCCCAGGTTCTCATCAATGGGCAAGTGACACCCGCTGGTTCTCAGCCTGTGGCAGCAGAGGGTCAGAAGCCCCAGGACCTGGCTTTACCAGGCCATGTCCTCGTCCCCAGGGAAGGACGGCAGCCACAGATCAGTCAGATTATGAAGAGGGGCTATCTGGAGGTTCGGCCGCCTGGCCTCCTCTCAGCTCCGAGGGTGAACCGGGCAGAGTGCTGCCACCTCCAGGAAGGCTTCCCTGACTCCTCCCGCTGGCCGGGCAAGCTCTCGAAGCCCCTGGAGGGCCCTGGCCCCTCTCCCCTGACTTATCCTCAGCTCTGAGCCAGGCCTGGCCTCGGCCTGCTGAGAGGTGGATGAATGGGCTCGGCTGGTGCTGCTCCCTGGCATACGAGTGCCCAGAGGGCAGAGACCAGCCCCAAGAGGTCCCAGGAAGTGTTTGTTGAATGAATGTCAGATGGGGACGTGTCCCAGAACGGCTCCAACCCTGGGCCAGAGCTCTAAGCAGCCCCTGGCTTCTGTCCCCAGGCTGTCCGCAGAACCGGTTTGGCATGAGCTGTGAGCACGTGTGCTCCTGCAGAAACGGAGGCCTGTGCCACGCTGCCAACGGCAGCTGCTCCTGTGGCCTGGGCTGGACGGGGCTGCACTGTGAGCTGGGTGAGTGTCCAGGCCGGCCGGGAGGGTCGGCTCCCGGGTGACCTGAGTCAGGCTAGTGCCCGCGGGGCCGTCCCTCGTGTGCCCCGCGCTTCCGCAGCAGGAGGCTGACCTGCCTGCTCTCTGCAGCCTGCCCTGCTGGGCGCTACGGGGCCGCCTGCCGCCTGGAGTGCTCTTGTCACAACAACGGCACCTGTGAGCCCGTCACGGGCGCCTGCCACTGCGGCCCTGGCTTCTACGGCCAGGCCTGCGAGCACTGTGAGTCGTGGGGTGGGGACCCCGCCCCAGCATCCGTGGGGGATCTGGGCTCTCAGGGGCCTATGAGATAAGTCCTGTCCCCAGCTTACCGTGGGGTCATCACGTTGGAACAGGGGAAGCTCCCGCCTGAGTCCCGGCTGGGTGGGAGGTAGGGGGAGCCCAGGCCCCCGAATCCAGTCATTTGCTTGGGTAAACTGAGGCAGGGTCTCTAACCCCGTCTCTCTTAGCCTGTCCCCCTGGCTTCCACGGGGCTGGCTGCCAGGGGGCGTGCAAGTGTCAGCATGGAGCCCCCTGCCACCCCGTCAGCGGCCAGTGTCTCTGCCCCGCTGGCCTCCACGGCCCGCTCTGCGAGAGGGGTGAGCGCCCCTCACCCCGTGCTCCCATCCGACCCCCTCGCCCAGCCCTGAGCAGCCCTGGTGTGGGGCAGAGGAGACGCTGAGCCCACTGCCCCCACCAGGGTGTGAGCCAGGCTCATTCGGAGAGGGCTGCCGCCAGCGGTGTGACTGTGAGGGTGGGGCACCCTGCGACCCCGTCACTGGCCACTGCCTTTGCCCCCCAGGGCGCATGGGGGCCACCTGTGACCTTGGTGAGTTTGGGGTCCCACCGGTGGGGGGCACAGTTGTGGGTCTCCATCAGGGGCAAATATTGATTGCATAGGTTGAGCCCCACCTGTGCCGTGCCCCTATTCTACCCCTTTGCAGGGTAGCAGCTGCTTGGAGGGGTCCCAGCATGGAGCTCCTGCTTGGGTTGTCAGGGCCACGCCCTGTCCTCAGGCCACCCACAGAGTCCCCAGGGAGGAGGCCCCAGTTAGGTGGAAAGGAGACGTCCTGAACTGCCAACATGGGTGGGGATAGGAGGGGCTGTCCTCTGAGGGCTGTACACGTGACCCTGGGCCTGCATTCCTGACCCTCAGGACCCCCTTTGCCAGCCCCGGGGCTGGGCAGGAACACGGGGCTGTGATTCCAGGCAGGTTCCCGGTGGCTGGCGCTTTCCCATGTGAGCGCGCTTACAGGGCAGGGAAACTGAGTCACGGAGGGTGGCCTGAAGGCCTCGGGTTCCCTGGCTGGGGCAGACGGGGTCGGCACTCAGACCTCTGTCTTGCGCCCTCCCTCCTGCAGACTGCAGAGTGGGCTTTTTCGGGCCGGGCTGTGCCCTGCGCTGTGCCTGTGGGGGTGGGGCCGACTGCGACCCCGTCAGCGGGCAGTGCCACTGCGTGGATGGCTACACAGGGCCCATGTGCCGGCAAGGTGAGTCAGCTCCTAGGAAGAGAGGAGGGGGCACTGCGCCCCCAGCCCCACCCCTGGCCGAGTCCCCATCCCGCCTCCCCACACAGAGCTGGCTGGGCCGGGCTAGTGGCGAGAACGTCACTGTCCCGATGCACCCCATGGTGTCCACATGGCTTCTGATGGGTGTGATGTAACTTTACAACCACTGGCGCGTGGGGCAGGGCTCAGCACGCTGCCAGCCCAAAGCAGCCCCACAGTCTGTAGCCCCAGACAGCATCAAGGATGGGCTCAAGCTGCAGATGGGACCCCATGGGCAGGGCGGGGTGACTCACCACCCCCGCCCCTCCTTGCCCTGCGTGCGTGTGAAGCAGGGTACGAAGGTGCACCTGTGTGTTCCAGCATGCATGCCCGTATGCACACAGGTAGCGTGCAGGAAGGTGCAGTGACAGCACCTTGGCCTCAGCCCCCATGAGGCTCTGGGGGTACACGTTGCCCCTCTGGCCAGCTAAGCCCCTCTGGTGTCCCCTGGTGTGCTCCCCCAGGCCCAGCCTGGTGTTGGGAAGAGACGTGTGCACGCTGAAAGGGTCCTGTCTATGGAGGGAGGTGGGAGGCCGGCCTGGGGTCTGTGCCAGGCAGGCCCTGCTGACCCAGTGAAGGGAGAGCCAGGAGGTGAGCAGATTCCAGAGGTCCTTGGCTTGGGACCCCAAACACGGGCTTGATATTACGTATGCACGTATATTTTTGAGCCTCACCAAGACAGTTCTGACCCAAACCCATTCAGAGCTGTGGAGCTGAGAGGGGGGGCGCACCTCCCACACTGGGGCAGGCCAGGGTGCCGGCGCCTGCCTTGCAGGGCTGGTGCTCAGGTCATAATGCCAGCCATGGCGGCACCTGGTGGTCAGATCTGGTACTGCACCACAGGCCCCGGGCGGCCCCCGGCAGCCCCGGGCAGCCTTGATGTTTGAGGGGGTGCTGCCTGCCTGCTGCCCAGTGGGAAGGCCAACAGGCAGGGTCTCACTGCGCCCTGCCCTGGAGTGGATCCGGCTTGGCCTGTAGTGGAGCCCTTACCCATCCAGCCCAAAGTCCCGCTTCCCGACCCTCCATGCTGCCTGGACAAGGCAGGGCTGGGAGCTCTCCTTTCGGGAGGGGGAGAGGCCCCACCATTTGCATAGGAGTGTGGGTCCCTGCATGCCTGTGTTCCCCGTTACTGTTGCTTACCCAGGGGTGAGGCAGTAAGTAGCCTGAATGCTGTCTGTCTGCCTTCAGGTGGGCCTCTCCAGCTCTCTGAGATCCCGTCCCCAGCCCTGGGCCCAGGTAAGGGGGCTGGGTGGCATTGGGTGGCATCACTGGTCCGTCACCAGCAGACTGAGGCCAAAGGGGGGATGAGGCTCGGGCACTATTAGAATCTGAGCCCCACAGATCAGCGGGCCTTCCTGAATCTGGACCTCAGAGAGGAGGCCGGGGGGCAGCTGGGAGCAGGGGCTGGAGGAGCAGTGGAGGTTCCCCCACCTGGAGCTGACCCCCGTCCTCCTGTGTCTGCAGCAGCCTCACACTCAGCCCCTCACAAACCAGCGCCCGGGATACGCGGCAGGGCAGAGAGGCACTAGCTCAGAGGCAGCCCCTGCCGGGGACCACCTCCTGGGTGCCGCCAAAGGGACCCGAGGGCTTTGGTGACAACTAAAGAGAGACGCCCGTGGGCCAAGACTCCTGCTTAACCCTTGCCTCCAAGGGCTGTGGACAGCTGCACAGCCTCTCGCTCTGCAAGGATCATCTGACCTCGAGGAGGGAGGCCCCGCTGGGCCCGGCTCCACAGAGCCCAGACGAGTGGAGGGGCCTGGGCCATACACCTGCGCCGGCCACCTGTGCTGAGGACGCCCGGCTCTTTGGGCTGCTGGGTCGGGACTGAGGGCAGGTGTGGACGCAGGTGCAGGCGTGGGGCCCTGCCCTGCGAGCAGGTTCTTTGGTGCTAGGCCCTGGGACTACTGCAGCTCAGCCTGTTTACCTGGAATGTCGCCCAGCTGTATTTATAGGATGGTATTTATGGGCAGCTGGACGCACTCGCTGCACCCCTGGGTGCTGGAAGGCTGCCCGTGTCCTTCCCTGCCCCAGAAAGCCCTGACTCAGGACTGTGTGGCCCTGGGGGGCCTCGGGGCGGTGGGCTCTGGTACCTTGTGAAATCCAGTAAATTAAGAGCAGAGCGGCCGCTTCCTTGAGGCCTGTGCATGTGCTGCTTTGTGTGGGTTCCACTATGGTGGCTCCTGGGCACGCCGGCATGAGTGCACTTGGACCAGGGAGGACCACAGACTCCTGGCCCATTTGGCGCCTGCTCTTCCCTGGGGATGGGGGTGCCAACACGTAAAGCTGGGTTTGTCCTGGTCCCCGGGCTCCACAGGGGCCGGCAGGTGCTGCCCAAGCAGCGGTGGACAGACCTGCTAAAAAGGCTCACAGCCCAGGTGCCCGAGACCCAGGGAAGCGTGGCCCTGAGGGGAGGGGGCTGGCCCAAGGGCAGCGGTGCTGTGGAGGCAGCATGGGCACCCGCCCACCCCTACGCCTACCCTGCCCCCCATCCTCAGGGCAGAAACAGTGGTGAGGGGTGGAGCGCTCACAGGATGGGGTGGCCAGTGGCGAGGCTGGACCCAGGTTGTCACACCGGATGCTTAGGGTCTGAGCACCCTCCCCTCCCCTCCAACACCAGCCCAGCTGGCCACGACCCCAAGGGCGAAGGACCTCCCAGGGAAAAACAGGGAGGCTCTAGGAAGCCTCGTCCCTTTAAACACAACTTGTGAACCACAGGTAGCAGAGGAAACCAAACTAATGAGCCACATGTGAAGATTCAAAAGTGAAAACAGTAGGTATCCGGGAAGGGGTGAGGGAGGATGGTAGTGACGCAGGGGGAAGCAGTTAAAGAAGGACCTGCCGTGGAGACTGAACCCGGAGAGCATAGAAGTCGGAGGGGTCGGTGGGTATGCAGCAGGGGTACAGCTGGGAAGTGCGTTTCCGGCCCAGGACACTCCCAGGAGGCTGCAGGGAGGCTTAGAGAGAGAGAAAATACAAAAGAAAGGCTAGAAGAAATGGACGAGGAAGGGTTAAAATCCACCTAGCTGAAGTCCTAGAAAAAGAAAGCCACTGATGTGAAGCCTCAGCAAACAGGAGGTTCTCAGGTCAAAAGGGGGGTGGTCTCAGACTAAAAGGGCTCAAAGTGCAAAAAATAAGTAAACAAGCCACAGCACAAAGACCCTGAAGCATGTCAGCGGCAAAGAGAAATTCTAAACATGCTGAGAACAGAAGGACGGGCATCTGAGTGACATCAGACTTTATAAGAGAAACACGCCAGTCAAGGAGGCAGTGGTGGTGTTTGCAAAGCGTTTAAGAAAAACAATGGAAACTTGAATTTTACATCCTGCTCAACTGTCACTGGAAAGCAAAGCGCTTGTTCTTGTTGGTCTCCAAGGCCCTGGCGGGTCACCGCACGGAAACCTGGCTTGAAAATGTGCTCAGAGAAAGCTCGCCAGCAGGAAGAGAAAGCAGCCAGGAGGGCACCATGAGACAGTCGCGCTTCCCGTGCGACCTAGTGATTATAACAATCAAATATTCATATTAACTGACAACTGAAAGTCTGGCCCGCGGGAAGGCACGGAGTGGGGGAGACACGTGTGGACAGATGGCAACGAGACAGGTGGGACCACGCAGAAGGCTGATGGGATGTTGTCACTTTCATTCCATCTGGAGGAAATGTCTCACCAGTGGAAGGCAGGGAAGGAGGAAAAATAAAGCATCGGAAGAAGAAAACAGATGAACAAACCCCAATGCAGGCGGTTACAAATGATCATAAGACATCCCTGGGTCACATTAAACATTATTCAACGGTATTTCACTATAAAAGATACACCTAGAAGGCTAGAACTAGAGGTGCACGAAGTAAACCAAAGGGGAGCTGGGACAGGAGTTTTAATATTTTAGGCTTAAAAGCATCCTAACTGACTATAAATATACACATCCACATGTAACAATAGAGGCTCAGAAATTCATACAGCAATGACGATGTAACAGGGAGAATAAACAATTATAACTGGCGATTTTAACGTGCTCGTTACAAAAACCGATAGGTTAAACAAAAAGACCTAAGCAATGATGAAATTTGATTCATGTGTGTACACATTTATATTGACGTGTATATAAACTTTACACTCAGCAAATGGAGAATAATGGAATATTTAACAAAATCGAAATTGCTTTGAAGACTAATAAGAAAGAAAAAAACTAGAAAGATTGTTGAGTTTTTAAGTGTGAAGCAAGAAAAAAATATAGAGGGAAGAGGAATTAACTGCAGGCACAAAAGAGTATGATATAAAAAAAGAATATTATGAATAACTTTGGAAACTTAGAAAAATGGATGTTTTCTGGAAAATACAAAATGCCAGGATGGGTGTAGGTAGAAATTAAGCACTTGAATCAACCAATATCTTAGGTAAATGTAAATAGTAATCAAAACTCCCCCCAAGTAATGCCTGGGATGATGCTGGGACAGGCAGATGCTAAATTTTCAAGACTCCGTGAACTTATCTGAGTTACTCCAGAAACTTTAAGTAGAGGAAAACAGCTCAACTCGTGTCCCGAGGCCAGTATCAACTTGGTCCTAAAACCAGGTGTTGAGGGCCGTGCAAGAAAATTACAGACCTGTTATGTGTATGCAAACATCCTCAATAAACTATTAGCTCCTCAAAAGTATTTTTAAAATAACACCCACTCGGTCCAATGGGAATTGGACTTGATTCAAACGCCAGGACAGTTTAACGTCAGAAATGTGTCATTGTCTGGGTGAGATGAGAAATCGGAGGATAGAAGCAAAAGGAGCCCTTGACAGAGTTCAGCATCTATGTAGGACGTAAATTCTTGGAAAACGGTACAGAAAGGAACCTTCTTGGCAACGGTTATGAGCCAAGAATCCACTGTGAGTTGGAGAAACCATGGGTTCGAGTCTGTCCACGCGAAGCCTCCCAGGGCCTTCCTTGCGGGCTGTGCACCACCGGGGTCCTGGTTTTTCTCCTGCCTTGTTGATGTGATGGCCCTGATGTGACAGCCTGTATTTCTGCCGTCATCCACTAGGGGGCACCCTCTGCAAGACGTGGGCTCTGCCTGCTTCCCGCCGGACCACCCGGGCAGGACGTGGGCAGGGCCCAGGCAACACTGGAACAAACTAACTTCCCTTAAAGATCAAGGATCAAATGCCACTGGCATCCCTCCCCCGCCGCCCCCGCACAGTTCCGGAGGACCCAGGCCACACTGTCCGATGATAAAGAGAAACAGAGCGGGGAGGGTCAGCAGAGAAGGCGCAAACCCGCCCAGGTTTTCAGGGGATGAGACTGTCGCTATAGAAAATCCGAAAGGGCCAACAGACAAATCAGCATGACCGATAAGAACTCAGCAAGGTGGGCTGCCAAGTCACACAGGTGTGTAAAATGTATGACAACTACGCACATTAGTAGTCTTCACCGCCGGCGACACCAATTAGAAACGATACAAAGTAAGGTGCTGGTCAAGGTGGCGACAAAACCAGTAGTATCTGGGAATTTATCTGGCAAAAGGATGCATGAGACTCAGAATAGGGGCCTGAGCCTGAGGACGCCCTCTCTCCAGCCAGGCTTCTCATCTGACCGGATCCCAGCCTGTTGGAGGAGAGGCCTAGCGATCAGGTGGCAGCTGGGGGAGCGATTTGGGGCGTCCAACATGGACAAGCGGCTGCTGTCAGGGATGGCGCCCCTGCAGTGCCCCTATCGGCCACCAGGGGGCAGTGGCGGGAGGGGGGTGGCCCCGAAGAAAGGACCGGTCAGGGAGGTGGAGGCCCGGGAATGTTCCGGAGGGGCTGGAAACAGGAGCCAGGTGTGCAGGGGTACCGAGGTTCTGAAAGCGGCGTTGGGATGAGAAGCAAGAAGGAGGTCACTGGAGCACACACCCGTTAACTGGGTACCACCTTCCCCCATAGACACCAGTTTACAAGGACACCCATGGTTCAAAGGACGTGCAAACACAGGAGGGTGTCCCTAGCCGCCAGGCCCCGTGGAGACGGGCTGGACTCCACCCGATGTTGCCCCAGAGGGATGGGCAAACCGCCCGGCTGTGTGAGCACGCACACCCTCTCATGAACTGCACCCCTTACTCCCACCCCAGGGAGGGTGGCTGGGACACCTCGGTGTCGGCACAGGCTCTGCCTGGATCGGCTGGTGTCCTGGGAAGCCTCGATGCCCCCTGCAAACCCTCCGACCCCAGCAGTGGACAGAGTCTTTGGGCCTCAGTTTCCCCACCTGTAACAGGAGGGGCGGTGCAGCTGGCCAGGCCTGATGCCACTTGGACTCTTGTCCTGAGCTGGCCTGGCCCTCCCCAGGGGGACCCAGCTGCCCCTAACAGCTCCCACCCCCCCGCAGCCCCTCCCCCCGTCCTAAGACAAACTTCCTCCAGGCTAAGCATTCTTACTCCTCTCTGCTGGTGAGGCAGAGGGGCCCTCAACCACTCTGAGGACTGAGTCAGACCTGAGGCCCCAGAACTGAGGACGCGGCCCCAGGGCTCCCCAAACCCTGTCTGCTCCATTAACTGAAATGTACAAGGCAGGGGATGGGCAGTGGGCTGCCTGCCCTCCCCACGTGTGTGGTTGGTGGTGAGAGAAGCAGGTGGGCTCACACAGGGACGCTGCCCGCTGGTCCCCACCTAGCGCTCACACACACCTGCACGCACTCAACAGCGCTCCAGGGACCCACCTGGCGCGCGCACACCTGCACGCACTCAACAGTGCTCCAGGGAAAGCAGGGAGAGCCCAGCTCACAGGCGGAAAGGTCAAGGCCCCAGATTGCCACCTGTCCAGGAAGTGAGGGGCTGGGCCTGATCCGTGGCGCCCCAACCCCCCAACCATGCCTCTCCCTGGCTTAGCGCCCCCCTCCACCAAAGCTCCTGCCCAGGACAGCCCCCCTTGGGCCCTGCCCTACACCTAGCCCACGGAGGTCACGGTGGAGGTCAGTGGGGGGGAGCAGCCCCGCCCTCCAGGTGCTGACCCCCTCTACCACCTGGTCCGGAGGCACACCTCCTCAACCACCTACTTCCGGGCAGGGGGTAGGTGCACCCCTGGCTTTCACAGAGAAGCTGGCACCCTCCACCCCAGCTGTGGGGCACAAGATGGGCATCAGGAGCGTTGGCAGGGGGCTTCCCCGGAGAGCAGACTGGTCCTTGAGCCTGGCCAGGCAGCCAACAACCCCTTCACCCCCAGAACTGTTCTCCCCCAGCCCCCCAGCAGCCCCTTCCCAGTCCAGAGGTCTGCCTGACTCTCCCACTTGCACGTCCCCCATCTTGGGGAGCAGAGGTCTGGGGGATGAGGCTGTGAGGGAGGTGGGGGCTGGGGGGAGACCCCCCATAGGCTCTGCAGTGTCCTCAAGCCCCCAGACTCACTGGTCTTGCCCACTGGCACCAGGTGGACAGACAGGCCAGGACCAAGGTCGAGCCCGGAGTGACCGTGAATGGGGTCCCGGACGGGACTGGCCCCAGCACAGTGACCACACGGGGGCCAGTCCCAGCCCAGGCACGTTGGGGTGTCTCTTGGGGACTCATGTGGCCTTCGCCCGGACTCAGATTTGCTACAGAAACCCAGGAGTTCCAGAAATACTTTAATGTCTCTAGAAACCTCAGTCATTATGACAGCGCTGGCCCCACAGGGTCACCCCCCCCTCTAGCCGGCCCTCCTCTCGGAAGGTGGGGGGCAGCCCAAGGCCCTCCTCGTCCCACATGGGGCAGGAGAGGCACCGGAGGGAGATGGCCTCACATTGTCCCCACTGTTCTCAGGGCCGTCCTTCTGTCACGTCCTCTGTGGCACAGCTGTCCTGTGGGTGCACAGGAGGGAAGGGGCAGGGCCAGGGAGCAGGGCAGGCTGGGCTCCTCTGAGGGGACCCTGTGAGCTTGTCTGGAGGTTGCTCCTTCAGGGTGGGGCGGGGGGCAAGTGTGACCGTCCCCCCTGGAAGTGTCTGGAGTCATCACTGCGGCCCATGGGCCTTGCCGGGATCCAGGACGGTTCAGGCTCCTGGGACAAGCCTACTGCGCTCCTGGAGCCCGGCGCGGCCACGTGCCGGCGTGTGGACCGGAGCCGCCTTCGAGGTGCCAGGCAGAGCGGGCTACACGTCCGTCTCCACCCGCAGACGCGCCATCCTGCGCACGTTGCCCTCCACGGCCACTTGGCTGGTGATGGTCCGGGCGAAGTCCTCGGGGAACCAGCCCGTCTCTCCATCCCGCAGCCTCTCGCCGTAGAGCCATCCTGAACCCAGACGTGGGGCAGGTGAGGGCAGGGTCCTGGGCACCAGGGAGAGGCCCCAACGGGAGCACCCCCAGCCCTCTGAGCTGCCGTTGCAGAAGACGCCGGGACCTGGCATCCCGTCAGGCTGACCCCCCTTCCTGCCAAGGGGGCCTTGATCATGGTCAAGCAAGCACCTGGTCAGGTACTCAGCCCTGACTGGCACTGGGGGCCGAGCGCGCTCCAACCAGCTCCCCCTGCTTGTGCAGGCGCCTGTGGGGGCCCCAGGAGGAGCAGAACCACCTCCACCTACTCAGGACACAGCGACAACATGCTTGCTTTTGATCCTGCGACTCGGGGACATCTGAATATATCCTTGAAAGGCTGCTGCACGAGCCTTGGAATCAGGCCCACCACAAGCACGTGCGCGAACCGCTTCCGGGGCGAGGGGGCTGCGGCCAGCCGCCCAGGCCAGTGTGCTCCATCCAGACCCTCGCCGGGGCCCCCACACTCATCGCCCACCCGCCCCCTGCGGGCGCAGCGCGCTCACCGTCCTCCTTCTGCAGGACCAGGACCACATCCGCCTGCTGCAGCGCGATCTCGTCCGCCTGCTTGGCCAGGTAGGCCTTGGTGACCTCCACCTGGAGCAGGTCTGGGGGCGCGGCGAGAGGCGGGCGTCAGCGGCAGGACTGGGCTCTCGGGGAGGGGAGGGGTTGGGCCGAGAGCTCTGCAGCCCCGGTTGGGAGGGCATCGCCTCCCAACGCAGCCCGCGTGGCCTGGCCTCAGTGAGGCCTGAGGGGTCCCCAGATGTCCCCCAGCACACAGATGTGTGGCAGCTCCCCTCCAGTTGAAGCTGGGCCCCTCCCAAGACCCCAAGACAGGCCTGCTGTCAGGGCCACGGCGCCTGGCACCAGCAGAGGGCGCGCCCAGTTTCCCGGGGCCAGGGCAGGGCTGCGGCTGCGGTGACTGGTCTGGGCCAGCCACCCCGGCTCTCTGGCCCGTTTCTCCCGGCCACTGGGCACAGGGCAGTGTTCTCTCCCACTGCAGGGAGGGGAGGCCCCGAGAGAGCTGGGTCTGTGCATACAGGTGGCTGGAGCCCCACACCTGGGCAAGTCACCCTGGGGGCGGGCTGTGGGGTGGACAGAGGGCTGGATGGACCGTCCCTCACCAGGGCCTGGAAAGGGGCTTCGAGCCCTGTTCCTGGGGCGAGCGCTCACCTCCCTTGTTGGGGGGACCCTGCTGCTGCCTCTCCTTGTGCGTGAGAGCCGTGATCCACCGGGCCCGGTCGCTCCTGGGGGGCAGAGAGGGTGAGCAGGGCCCCGACGCTGACCCTGCCCGCCTTGTGGCTTTGGCTTCAAGTCCCTTATCCAGAATGGTAAGGTGGGAAGATGGGGGCTCATGCAGCCTCCCATGGGCATCTCTGAGCATCCCTACATGGCCCTCGGGGCGGCACAGGCAGCGGTGACGAAGGCTCACGCCGCCTGGACACCCTGTCATGAGCCCAGCCGTGAGCAGGCGTCCCCCCCGGCCTCCCCCACGCACTTCGCTGGGGGCCGAGGCGTGGGAAGTCCTAGGACATGAGGGACAGGCAGGCAGGCTGGGCCCTGATCATAACCGCCCAGGGTCAGGCAGCAGCAGCTGCGCTCCCCGACCCTGGGCCACCCCATTTCCCGGCATTGGGCCCCGAGCCCCTGTCTTTTGTCAGTTGGCTGTTTGATGCACAAGGCCTCAGTTTCCCACCCAGAAACGGGGCCGTGCTGTAGGGAGCATGGAGGCTGTGCCTCCGTTCCCCTCCCTCATCTGCTGAGGTCCCTCAGGGCTAGCACTTTCTCTGTGCTGACCGCCCCCACCATCCTGACGTCACCCCCGCCGGCCGTGTTCAAGCCCCGCTGTCCTAGCTGCTACACGCCAGGGCCTCCTGCCCCGGGGCCTTTGCACTGCTGTCCTCCGCCAGAGCACTGCTCCCCACGTCGCCTTGCCGGCGAGGCTCCCTCGCCAGCCCCCACCCAGTGCTCCCTCCCGTTTTCCTCCTTAGGCCTCAGGCCTGACACCTGGACGGTTCAGCTGCTCATTTTGTGGCTGGTGTGCCCCACCTCCCGGGAACGTGAACTTGGTGAGGACGAGGCTGTCCCCAGTCCCCAGCACACAACTGTGGTCAGGGACACTGGTGGCAGGAATCCCGTCCTCACGGCGTTCGCAGAGCTGCCCACCCTTTCCGGGGAGCCCTGCTGGACTCACGCTGAGTCGGAAGAGAGCAGGATCTTCTCCTGGCGGCCCTCGCTGTTGTGCAGCAGTGTCACCAGGAAGGGGTGGGGGACACAGGAGCTGCGGTTGCCGCCCGCCGGCAGGGGGAGCGCCGAGGCCTCCATCTTCTGGACCTGGATGTGGTCCACCTGGGCGTAGTCTTGGACCACAAAGCTGTCCTCACTGCGGGAGACGGGGTGGCCCGACGCTGCAGAGGTGTGGGCGGCCGCGCCACCCCCGTCCACCCCGGCCCCCCAGCAGCCGGGAGCCAGGCAGCCAGGACACTCCCCGGAGCTGCCTCCCAGCCTCCCCGGCCTGGAGGCCTGAGGTCATGAGCTTCCGGGTCCTGGTGGCCGGGCGGCAGGTCACATGGGAGGTGGCACTGAGCACCCTCTGGAGGCCGCCTGTGTGCCATTGTGTAGGGGGACCCCTTGGGCAGGCCAGGCTGGGAGGGGGCTCCTGTGGTGAGCCCCCAACTCTGATGTCAGGGGCGGCTCAGGCGGGCTCCCCCACGTCCCTCCTGGCCCCGAGACTGTGGCTGCTGCCCGCCCCCCGCAGCAGGGCCGCGCAGCCTGGCACCCACGGGCGGCACCCACCTCTTCTTCTTGGTGACCACCAGGACGTCGTTGAACAGGAACAGGTAGTATGTTGGCCGGGCGAGCTTGCGGAAAAGCCCGGCCTCCTCCAACACAAAGAGCTCCCCTCGCTTCCGCAGCCAGCGGGAGGTGGAGATCAGCGGGAGGGACTGAGGGACAGAGAGGCGCCGGAGCCGGTGTGGGCCAAGGGCCTGCTGCCCGTGGGGACAGATCCTGCCTCTCAGGGCTGGGTGACTGGCCGTCCGCAGGGCTGGACCGAGGAGGGGAAAGCGACGTGTCCCGGCCTCAAAGGGCCATTCAGTCGGCTGACAGGTGCCCACGGGCGGCCGCTGTGCGCCAGGCCCGGGCCCAGAGCCTGTCCAGCGCCCGGGACAGGCCCGTCCCGCGTCTGCAGGCCCAGGCTTGCTGTGCACCTACTGAGCGCTCCCTCAGGCCGAGGAACAAAGGCCCCTGGGGAAGCCTCCGCACACGGGCGTGGTCTGAGGGCGCCTGGGGCGGGCCTGGGGTCTGGGGCGCTGCCGGTCAGGACGACCTACCTTGACCTTGCCGAAGTCCAGCTGTTTGTGCAGCGTGTACAGCGCCTCCGTGCGCTCCATCTGGTGGGCCCCTGCGTTGCATTGCTTCACCAGCTGCAAGGTGTGCGTGCCCAGAGCAGGCTGCGCTGTGGGACGTGCCCTGCCCCGAGGGTGCCCGTGCCCGCCTGCCTGGCCCGCCCAAGGTGCCTGCCCTGTGATTGCTCTAGTCCCTGCCTTGCCACAGGCTCAGCAATTGAGTGCAAGCTCCACTTCCCTGGGCCTCGCTTTCCCCACTGGCACCATGAAAAGCTTGCGATGGACAATCTGGAAACACTTCCCGTCCCACGCGCAGTGTCTCTGCCATCAGGTGGGGTGGGGTCCCATCTCACCTTACTGATGGCCTTCAGTGCGCGGCTGGCGGCCTTGTACCTCTCGGGGTGGCCCTGGGTCTTGAGACAGAGCGTCTGCAGAGAAGACACCAGATGTGAGAAGGCACCCAGTGCCCTCCTGCACCCCAGGATTAGGGGCCTGCATGGGGCAAGGGCTCCGTTACCAACACCAGACCCTGGTGGGGGCTACAGGGAGGGCGAGGGCTGGTGCCCAGAGGGCTCCTGCTGGCCCCATTGGGGCGCACAGCCCCCACATGGCTCTTCCAGGTCAGGCTGCTTAGGTGGGAACCAGGAGTGAGCACCCCCTAGGACCTCATCCCACCCAGTCCTTGGCCATGACATTCCAGCCGGGGAGGCCCCCTGCAGCCTGTTTCTACTCTTCCAGAGGGCCCTGGAGGGTCTGACATCCATCTGGCTTGGACAGCTGACCCACCAACCATATGCTGCCTCTGGGAGCTGAGCTGGGCTCCCGCCAGTGTGTGTTCGTGTGTGCATGTCCATGTGTGCACCTTTCACCCTCACGTGCCCCTCTGCCCCGTGGGCTGGCATCTCAGACACAAGCCAGTGCTGGGAGCCCCTGAGCCCCTCTCCACACCCAGGGCAGCTGGCCGAGGGGTCCTGGGTAGGAGGTGGCGATGGCCCAGGACAGAGGCTTGGCCGGGGTCTGGGCGACGCCCATCAGGCACATCCATGTGAATGAACCTTGTGAACCGTATGTGACGGATCACCCACAAAGTGCAGGAGCTGGTCCCAGCAGAGGGAGTTCTATGGGCGATGGCGGTGATGCTGCGACCACGTCACCGTGGCTAGTAAAGCCACGACCACCCTCATAATTGTCACATAACAGGCAAAGCACGGAGGGGCAGGTCGCGAGGGGGCAAGGCGTGACCCGAGGTGGGACCGGGGCGGCTGAGGCCTGTCTCCTTCCCCCAGGCCAGGGTCTGGGCTGTGCACTCACGTCCGTCAGGAGGGGCAGCCGGGTGACCCTCTGCATGGGGAGGATCAGGAAGGAGATCATGGGCAGGCCCCCGCACGCGGGCCGCTTCTCCGTCTCCCTCAGGACCTCTCGGAAGGCGGCATTGCTGCTTCTGCAACAGACAGCAGGGCTCGCCCTTGGCCATGGGCAGAGGTGTGGTGGCCCGTACAGAAATCAGGCAGCGACTGCAGAAGCCGGGCTGCGAGCAGGAACGTGTGCCCAGCCCCAGCCCGGGCGCCCCGCTCACGTCAGCTTCTGCAGGGCGCGCTGCTGATACGTCTCGTTGGAGCAGTATGCGACGTAGGGGTGGAAGTGCTTCTCCGCATGTTCCTCCAGGATGTCGCTGATGTCCTCCACGCACACCTGCGCCTTGTGCCGCTGCTCCAGGTCCTCGAAGAACCTGTGGGGGGCGAGGACCGTGGGCCTGGGACACGTACGTACACACACACACACACACACACACACGTACACGCGGCCGGCACCCCGCTCAGCTCCCAGGGGCAGCACACAGTAGGCATGCGGACTGGGCCGGGCCAGTGCTCCTGACTGGGGCTGAGAGCCACAGCCCTCCCAGGACAAATCCCAGGACAGATCAGCTCCTGAAACCTGAAATCAGTGGGCACAGACCCAGGATCGAAGGCCACTTCCCGCCAGATTCTGGCAGACAGCAGGGGGCCTCGCGGGATGACGGCAGTGGGACAGAGCGGTCACTCTGACTAGCTTCTCTGTGACTTGGGTCAGAGCTGCCAGGATCTGCTTGGAGCCTCAGCTCCCTCTGCCCAGCTCAGAGTGGGAGCTCCGAGCAGACTCCCTGGAGATGGCCGCTAGCCCCTCAGTTCCTGTTAGGGTCCCCTTCTGAGGCTCATCTGTGACCCGGGCCTTGGCAGGAGTGATGGGGACGAAGGGAGACGTCTAGCTGGTGCCGGCCCGGGGCCTCCCTGGGGTCTGTTCCCATAGGCAGCCACTGCCGTCACGGCTGGGCCTGACTGGACCCGCGCCGTGTCACCTGGTGTACAAGTCGCCAGCTGAACGCCCCTCCTGTACAGCCAAGGCCCATCCCCTCTCCAGGCCCTGGCCACGGCGGCTGGAAGTCCTCCACCGCAAGAGCTCTGGGCCTCTGAGAAACCCCTCCCTGCGGCCCCTCCTCAGCGACACCCCCTCCCCCCAGCCCGGCAGCCCTGTCTGGAGATAAGACAGCTGGCTGACCTCAAGGGCAGACAGCAGAGTCCTGAGTACGGACCCGCCCCCACATGGGGACCCTCAGGTGGCCCACACCCCTCATTGGGGAGTGACCAGGCCCAGGGTGGCCAACTCCGCCACGGCCATTACCACACACCTGCCTGGGTGTGAGAGGACGAAGCCAGCGGTGACAGTGAGGTGAGGGTGGGGTGAGGTCCCGGGTCCTCAATGCTGAAGGCGCCCACCACCAGCCCCACCCGCCCAGGCCCTGTGGCTGGGCACCACCCGGGCGAACAGGCAGCCCCCCCAATCTGTGCCCTCCCCCGCCCCATGGAAGATGGGGGCCTTGCTCATTATCCTGGCAAGGCCAGCGAGAGTCAGGGAGAGGGACGGGGCCTCAGCCTGGAGGTGGCAGGGGTCCCTTATACCCCGCTCATCGGCCCCCAGCCTGACCCTCTGCCACAGGGGACCACAGCTCCTGGGAGAACTTGCTGACAGTCATGGCTGGTGGGCAGCCCTGGCAAACGGGCACAGTGTGCAAGGAACAGGCGAGGACCCCCCAGCCCGGGAGGGAGTGAGAGGCCCTGGCTGCTGGATCAAGGCCACACGCACAAGCCCAGGCAGGCCAGGTTGGGCCGCATCCCTGCGGGTTTCGGAGAAAGGTCTGAGGCTGGCCCTCAGCCACTGACCCAAAGTAGCTGATACTTAGTTTCTTTCTTTCTTTTTTTTTAGCTGAGCCATCCTGCCATTTGTTGGCAGCTCATCGGCAGCTCAGCTCGGGCCGGGACTCGAGCCGGCAGCTGATACTTAGGAAGGCCGCTGTGAATGGCCAGGAGCTGCCAGACGCAGCTTGGGGTGGGAGAGGCTGCAGCGTCCCCCTGGGGACAGTGGTGGCCAGCCTGGGGCCCCGCGGAGGTCAGAAGCACATGTGCAATAGTGGGTGCAGGCCCTCGGCCCCGCCATGCTGGGGGACATGGAGCAAAGGGTCAGCGCTGGATGGAGGTGGAGCCACTACCCCAGAACCCCCATCGAGTCAGACTGTCACAAGCTCTGCAGAAAACTCATCTCCAGGGACAACGCATCCCCTCTGCCCCCCACCACCCAAACTTCTACGGGGCAGACTGTGGGTGGGGCTCAGCGAGGGGCGGGTCTGATGCCAAGATGAATTAAACTGTCACTCAGTCACCTTATCAGCTT